ACATTAGATCAACATCTTGAAATGTTGATTCAATGTGCGCCTCTCGAATGTTTGCGTTCAGTATTCCACCTGGAAATTTTTCAAGATCGCTAGGTAAGGTGATTACGCGTCTTGAATATTGCAAAATTGTTGTCCTTAGGGAGGATTCACACCTGGGCAAAAGAAGCAGAAAACAGAAAGGCAGCATCCAATCAGAAGTCGCGCTGATAGTCCGCGTCTCTCTTTTCTATCTCTCTCTCAAGAGAGAGAGAGATAAACAATCAGCGCGACTTCTGATTGGATGCTATCTTTCTGCTTTCTGCTTTTTTGAAGTGTGAATCCTCCCTTAGAAGTATCAAGAAGCTATTTATAACAATGTTGGTACAACGTTGGAAACTGGAATATTAGGAACATTATATGCTATTAAATTTTATATCGTTGCAAGTACATTCTGCCAATGAATTTTAGCTCGCTTAAAGCTGGATTGCAAGTCCAAAACTGTCAGTCCTTCATGGTGCTTGAATGATTTCAATTTATAAGACGGGTAGATGGGTGTCGACTTCACCGAAAGTCTTCCTCGCGAATTCTTCGAGGCTATTCCCAAACAGTACAAATTCTTGAAAAATATCTTAAAGACGCCGAAAGAACGTCTAATTATTTTTAAATATCTTTAAAACGTCATTTAGAAATCTATGCTACCCAGGCTATTTGGTTAGCCAACAATTGAGGATAAGGAGTCTTTGGTAAAATAAACTCCAAAGATGACACTGAATGACAAAGTCGTGCTTTGTAGTTGACTTCATGCGGACTTTAATCTCGATCTGGAAATAACTTGAATCCGAAACAATGTCAGAAATAATTCAACTCGAAACAAACAGTTTAATTCGGAATAAAATAAATAAATTAAGAAAACTGAATAACAAAACAATCAGTAATAAAAAAATATATTTTAGATATCTTTTAAACGTTATTTAGAAATCTATGTCACCCGAACTACTTGATTGGTCGACAATTGAGGATAAGGTGTCTTTGATAAAATAAGACTTCAAGGATGACACCGAATGACAAAGTCGTGGTTTGTAGCTGACTTCATGCGGACTTTGATCTCGATTTCGAAATATCCTCGAAGTCAAAGCAATATCAGAAATAATTCAACTCGAAAGGAACAACTTAATTTGAAACAAGACTTGAATAAACTAAACAAGCTGAATGACAAAATAACCGATAGTAAGATACTGAAATAACTCGAGTTGGAACAAATAATTTAACTTAATATGGAATCGACAAATAAGAAGAAAAATGAAATAAAGCAAAATACACGGAACAATTCAATTTGATTCAATTTGAATCGAAATCAATCTCAATCCCCCAAAGACTCTTTAGTCCGCCGGTCGCGCAAAACTGTCTCGTTACAACGTCGGGACTGCTGTCACAACTTTGTGGGGAAGATTGACAGCATTCCGCGCGGTCAAGGTGTGCGAAAGCTGTCGAGCTTGCCGCTTCCGAGTACATTTCGTACGAACGGTTTCCTGGCATGTCGTCTCTTTTCGAGCTTTCGAAAAATCTCTTTGTGTCGTTTATCTATGTAACGCGCGTATATATGGCGTATGCCCACGCAATATCTGGTAACCCAGATATGCCGTGGACTCCGATGTATGCGTGATGTATGCGTTATACGAATATCGCGGGGTTTTATCCATACGCTCGCGACACTACGTGGCGTAGATAGACAGAGAGAAAGAGAGAGAGAGAGAGAGAGAGAGAGAGAGAGAGAGAGAGAGAGAGAGATATGTATAGAAAGAAAGAGAAAGGGAGAGAAAAAAGGAGAACACGCGTCCGGATGTATACCGTTTTACGGCGTTTAAGCAGTCGAATGGAGCCCGACAGGATCGCGTGTTATAAACACTTTATGACGCTTTATCAGGATGATCTACTTCCAGAAAGGAAGTTCGAGGAACACTTCGGCCTTCCAGAGGAAGATCGTCACAAGCAATCGGTGATGCATCTGTGCCTCGGGAAAGACACTGGTCCTCTTTCTTGAAAAGTTCACTAAGAAAAGTACCATTGTGCTGCTGTGAGAGAAGCGATTACTTTCAGTTTGCTTTCCTTTTGCCACGGTTATCATCAACAAAGAATATCTCCTTGATAATAGTTCCAGAATATCCAGAATCCAGAATACTCTTGACAAATTTTTGAAGAGCTCGTTATCACGTGCTCGAAGGGAGAATTTATTCTCTCTTTAACAACGTTGTGAAATTTATACTCTCCATGCAAAAGAAACAAACCAAGTAGATAGTAAAGATCATCGCTTTAGAAATTTCATCATGGCGGCCATTTTTTAAAATGGAAAACGATTTTTTTCGAAATAAAAGTTGTAGCTGACAATGAGACGAGTACAATGATTTTTTGTTTTTTGAAATTGGATCACTTTTCAGTGAGTTACAGCATTCCAAAGTTTATAATTTCAATAAAAAGCTTCCACCCCCATATAGCGTGCGTTAGCGTTTAATTCCAAACCGCCCTTTATCTCTTTCTGTGTATGTGTGCTATCAAGCAAGATCAGTCTAGATAATAGATAGGAACAACATACACGTATAGAGAAAGAGGTAGAGAGCGAGAGTCGCAAAATACATACGCGCACTAAGTATATGAGGGTGGAACGCTGGAATTCACTGAAAAATGATCCAATTTAGGCAAAAAAAAAAAACCGTTGTATTCGTCTCACTGTCAGCTACAACTTTTATTTCAAGAAAAACATCGATTTCCGTTTAAAAAAATGGCCGCCATGATGAAATCTCTAAAGTGGCGCCATTTGCAATCAAATTGATAATATCATCATTTTTTCTCCTTGGAGGAAAATGAAACTTTTGTCTGAAACATTTCCTTTGAAAAACTTCTTTTCGAGATATTCGTGTGTATTGAATAAAATAGTCGACTCTGTATATCTTTTTACATATATACCCGCATGTTATACGAAATACCAAAGATTTACCAACTTATTTAAAGATCACGTTTAAACAATTCCACACGATCGTGCGGACGAGAACAACAAAGTTATGCAGTTATACAGATTCGTAATTAGAGGCCCCAAAAACTTCCAGATACCAAAATTGGTTTGAATCAGTCATCTGTTTACAATTTCGGTCCGTCATATTGGGTCCGCCGTCTTGAATTTTGTAATTTTATCTCCAGATTCGTAATCAGCGATCCTAAGAACCCTTTACTGACTAGTTCAATGGAAGACAAGTTTGACGGGAATCACATGTAATATCTACCAAGGGTTGAAATAGTGCTTTCATGTTCAGGGATCATGGGGTGATTTCCATCCTTAAAATGCGTTGTCAGCCGATATAAAAAAACACGTGTTCAATATTTTTCAATGTTCTACGTGCATGCCAAATTTCATTGGAATCGCTGAGTGACAGTTGGGTAGTGTTACTTGTGAGTAATTCGTAAGGATCAGCTTTGTTCTCCGTATCAACAATACTGTCCAAAGCTAAGCATTTACAACGCCGAGTTCGTCCCGGATGACGACGACTAGAAAACGGCGAATAGAAAAAAAATGCTCGACACCGAAGATATCACGCTGTGAGATTTGCTCGTTCAAGTTCAAGGACTCCCCCGGCCGCGACTCTTCCGCCGCTCGGGTCAGGATCGGGACAAAAATGACGCGCACCCCGAACAATAGAAGAATGCGAGCTGACGGAGATCTCCGCGAGCGATTTTCCTCCGCACTTCCCGAATCCTATAGATGTGTGTCACGCGAGCCGACGAGACGGAGATCACGCCAAGAGCGCTCTATGACGATGATACGGTGAGTGTGCAAATCGTCGGCGCGAGCCGCGTATCTTGGCATCAATCTTTCGACGACGACCCGGCCACACCGAGGAAAACATTTTACCGCTGCAAAAAGCGGCTCAGTTAACTTTACATTGTCCTTCTTTTAGAGATAAGGCTTCTTCTCGATGAAGAATATCTCTCCTCGACGACGATCTTCGAACATGCCATCGCGAGGGTCGAAGAGCTCACTATCACGTTCTCGAAAGAAGAATCTTTTTCTTCCTTCAAAGGCATCACAAGATTTAATACTCCATACGAGAAGCAAAGCGTGTACCTTTGATTAAATTTTAATGAAGTTTTAATTGAATGCCCTTAATTGAGAGAGAAGCGCTAAACTTGTCAGGACTTGAAGCGCACCTATATAGCACAAAACGTTGCGGCAACATTGCCACAATGTTGCAGCAATGTTGCTGCAGCTTTTGTACTATATGGGCATATTTCGACTGCAAATCTCACGCGCTTACACGATGAACTTAATTTTTCAGTACTTCGAAGCACATATCTTTCCGCTCGCAAGTAAAAGCCGCGCTCGCGCGCTCCAGGTTGCGACCTGGCCTCGTCCGCGGGGACATCCCGAGGAGAAGCGCAATCGGAGCGATACGCGAGCAATCTCTCGATCCTCCTGGAGCCGGGCGTTTTCGTTTTGCCAGTAGGTCACGACACACGCATCATCGGACTAGACAATTCGCGACGACTACGAAGCCAAGAAGAAAGTGAGGACCGCGCGAGCGAGCGAGCGCCCGGAGAGTCGCGGAATTTATAAACGTGTAATCGAGGCCACCTTCAATCGGTGAGACGCCGCTGTCGCGCGGCTCTCGAGTCAAAATCAAGCGTGACTACGATTTCCTCGAGGAGCAACGAGGAAGGCGAAAAAGAGCACGGGAAAGACTCGGAGGAAATTTAGAAAGCGACACGTACGGGCGCAGCGCGTCGATCGGCGAGCGATCGCTTTCTTGACGAGCGCGCGCGGCCCCGACATACCGATCGCGTCGTTTTCACTTTTGAAATCTAATCCGCGCGATCGCGCATCCTCACCGTCGTCGCGCGATGACACCCCGGGGGGCTCGGGCTCTTCGGCGAGGCGCGAGCCGATGTCCACCTGGTCGCACCCGGACGCACTCTCCGCTTCTCCTCCGAGTCTCACCGCGGCAAACCACTACTCGCGCTGATTCATCACTTACTCAGTATCACTGACGACGACATCTTCGCCGGGACGGTACAGGAGCGAAGAGGATGCGGACGTATCCCGCGGACATGCCAAGGCAAGGTTGTGTCTCCGCCGTCTCTGCCACGCTCGTCACACCTGCGACAACCACCCGGCACTCGGTGCGGAGTCGCGCGGCGCCCAACTATTTGAACCGAGAGCGCGAGAGTCGCGCGCGCGCGCCCGCCCGCGCGTCGTCCTCGGCGCGTCGCCGTCTTTGCCGCCGCCGCCGCCGCCGCCGCCGCCGCCGCCGCTTTGTCGGTTCACGCGGCCGACGAGTTACGCATAGTGTGCTGTCGGTCGAGAGCGTGCGCGCACGAGGGAGAGAGAGAGAGAGAGAGAGAGAGAGAGAGAGAGAGTGAGTAAAAAGAGAACGAGAGTGACAATTGGTGGGCGAAGGTGAGAGAAGAGGACACACGTCGACGACGTCGCCCGGAGGAACAAGGATCCGCGCTCGCGAGCGGACGGACGGGCCTCGACCACGACGAGACGACTGTCCGTGAAAAGACCTCGACACACTTTACTCTCGACGGAGGATTCGCTCGCTCGTTCGTTCACTCTCTCCCGTTCTTTCTCCTTCTTTCTCCTTGCACGCGCCGGCAGGCAGGCGCCGTCCCTAAGCCGTCCAAGGGAAAGTGCTGCCGCGCCACGTTCCCTACTACCGCCGATGGCTACTCTTCCTCCTCCGCGTCTCGGTCACTCGAATGATTCGTCATGGCGACGCGCAGGAATGCCGTCGTCGTCGATGTCCGAATCGGTCCAGCTCTCCCTGTCCGCGCATCGGATGCTGTAACTTGCGCTCTCCGCTGATAGAGCTTCCCTTCCTCGTCGACGGGGCCATCCGGAAGCTCAGGTCCACCTGCTTATGACGGAGACGTCGACGAGCTTCCCTCTCCCCCTCTCTCCGTCGCTTGGATCGTTGGAAGAAAAGAAAAATAAGAAACTAAATGTCTCCGTCGTTATCATCTAAATTTTATTTACGTTCCGACTGGTGCTGCTTGTTTTTGTTACATCGATACGCAGTTCGCTTAGATTTCATTGTATAATGGTGTGTATAAAGTAACTACACGTACAACTAGCGTTAGCTAAAGAAAATTACACGGTACGATGTCGATCGTCTACTTCGCCGTCGTTTCTTACGTTCTCAGCCCGAATAAACACTCCGGCTTGCGGTTTAAACAACTGCACCACCCGTCCAGCGAGCCTCTTCTTCGTTATCTTGCCGTCTCGGGGAAGTTCAAATCGAGAAAGACCGCACCTCGCGGACGAAAATGGTCGGCGGAGCGCAGCAGCGTGCGGGGGGGGCCCCCCCCGACGAAAGGCCCCGACGAGGAACACTCGTAAATCAAATCGCAGGTGTCGCGCAATTTGTGAAACAGATAGGAAAATAAGTCGTATATGTCTATCTATCTCTCCCTCCCTCCCTTCTTCCCTCCCTCTCTCCCCTTACTCCCTCTTCTTTTCCTTCTATTGATGGGGCACAATGGAGTTTATTAACACATGTACAAAAGTCCGTTTGCGTACGAGTGTGCTAGAAACGTTTCGCGAACGTTAACGCTGTCAAACTTCGCGTCTCCGCGAGGAGGTGAACGGCGCAGCGAGGAGCAACAACTGCGAGGAGCGCGCTCCTCCTCCTTCTCCTCTTCTGCTTCTTCTTCAGTGATGCTTTCCTCGTTTGTATGTTCCTCCGCGCCCACGTGCGGCGTCCGAGTCGCTCGTGGAGTAGACCCAATCATCATCTTCTCGGCATATTAAAAGAAACGCGCGGTCGGTCATGTAACATGATCCAACACGACGTAAAAGTGTAGTGTATACGTAGTATAGCCGAGGTAGTCGCCTCGGTTACCACACGAGTCGATAAATTTCATTGAACATCTCTCTCTCTCTCTCTCTCTCTCTCTCTCTCTCTCTCTCTCTCTCTCTCTCTCTCTCTCTCTCTCTCTCTCTCTCTCTCTCTTTCTCTCTAGAGTTGTGTCCGCGACCGCGCCTGCTGAGAAAACTGCGTTGCCACGCTTCAGCTTCTTGCGTTTTCATCAGAACTGTCCGGGTATTGTATGTGTGCATGCGCGCGTGTGTATGTATGTGTGTGTGTGTGTGTGTGTGTGTGTGTGTGTGTGTGTGTGTGTGTGTGTGTGTGTGTGTGTGTGTGGATGGGTGGGTGGGTGGGTATGTGTGAGGTTCGCGAGATCATCATGACGCCTGTGACGGCTCCCGGCGTTCAAAGTCGCGCCGCGCGATGAACTCGCGAGAGGACTCTGGGCTCTGTAGGACAGCCCCGTGGCGACGTACGGTTGGTTACTCGTACGGACAGCTCGCTCGATCGCGCGAACTCGAGCGAACGGATCAGTATTTCCTCATCGGCATGGACGATTTGTACGCGTCGAAGCGTTCGTACGACGGAGCCGTGCCCGGCGCGGTCAGTCCCAACGACTGGATCGGCCCGCTCTGGTACGTCGGCGGGATCGGGTGCCGCAGGGCGCTGCCCATGCTGCTCGAGTTGCTCCATCTGCAACATACGGACGTCGCGCGTATTATTATGAACCCTTTGCTCTCGAGAGGCGACTCAGTCGCCACTGGGTCTAGAGTTGCCAGTTCGTTCTAGCGAAAAAGTCGTTTAAAATTTAACCCTTTGCACTCGAGGACTCTCGATAATTCTGCGAACTTTTTATAATCGACATAAGACCCAGTGACGACTGAGAGCCGTTTCTCGAGTGCAAAGGGTTAAAATAGATAAACTTCTATATTGTACACTATATTATATACACTAGACCGATAACTCGTCTCTTTAACACATCCCCTAAGGCCGTATCAGACTACGGATTGGGACTGAGTATTGGATTGAAATTTAACCAATCAGGACCAAGTTTACTATATTTGAGATTATTTTCTATTTTGCAATCGGTCAAATTTCAATCCAATCTCAATCCCAATCTGATACGGGCTTAAAAATATGTATTAAAATTTCATTCGCATGCGCATTGCAAGGTCCCGAAAGGGATGTAACTGCATCGTACTGCACCTCGTACTGTACAAGCATTTTCCTCCAGAAAATGTTAATATTTATCCAATATTTAATATTTCCTCTTGCAATGTCACATTCAATGTTCACATAAATATTCAGGTGGGCACACGTGCTTCCGAAGAATCACGCGATTCCGAAATTTTAGATCTCAGCGGGACAACTTTCCGGGTACTGAATACGATTTCTGCGAGTACTGGAAACATGAGCCATATGTACTTATATGCCACGCATCATTGTTATAAGTTATTTGTACGATTTTCAGCTTATCTAGCTGTGATTATAATGGTAATAAATGATGTGGTGCGTACTGATTTCGACGTAACAAGTTGTGCGAGACAACTTCATGCTTCCGGTATTTCAAGATTCGGTCTTCAGTTTCCGTTGTCCTATTTCTCAAAAATTTTGATTTCCTGGGCTTGTCTGTCTGTCGAGCTTTATATCTTATAGCAAAAAGCCGCCGTTGCCGCCGCTTGCAAGAAATGAATGCGACGAAAAAGAATTTTGTTATTACTGTGTGTGCGCAATTTAATCTTACGATGTCAACTTGTCCCGTCAGGCGCGACAAAATCCATGTTGTTAGACACGATTTTGGAAATTATATCGCGTTTGTTAACACAATTATATTTTATTACTGTACACGACAAAGTTTTGGCAAACAAGTTGCGGCCTGCGAGATCGGAGGACGCACCTGTTCACGCTGTCGGATGATCTTGAGCTCCAGCTGGAAGGCTCATTTCGGGGATCACGCGATCCGCTGCTCGTCACCGAGTTGAAGGACTTGGAGGATGTCGGGCCTGAATGCCAGCCGCTCGGTGTACGATTGCTCTCCACGTAACGACTCTCACCTGCATCGAGAAGAGTGATCATATAAAGGAATAAACAGAAGCGGTTTCTCAACCTTTCGGATTATCGCAACGCGCATTGTCCCGAAAGATCGAAACCTCGACATGTTTGGAAACTGGAACATTCCCACATGCTTTTCCCACTGGGACGAACTCCCGCATTTTCTGAAAAATCATAATACCGAAATCCAAATGCCGAGACAATGTCTTCAGATCGAACAAGGCACATTAATATTCACTCATTTGGATGCTCAAATAAGTAGATGCTGATACAACTGGTCGTGCAATGGGACAACTTCAACATTGCGGTGAGATTGTTACAACTTTTCGGTGTTACAACTTTTCAGGGAATTGCCCCATTTTTTTTAATTTCGGTACATTTTCTTCAGGACATTGCGTATCTACTGTAATAAAGCAAGCAGAGATGATCGAAATATATGTCAGTTAGGAAGCTTGAGATATAATATCAAGGAAACTACGGAAACTCATGACAGATATGATGTCTCCCATATCACACTAAATTTTCACAATTGGTCCGCATGCTTTATAATAGAAAGATATAGAAAGAATCTGTGTATATTCCTGCCGAGTGTCATGTGATGTTTGTCAGATGGTCGGGAAAGCTTTCATGCAACAGTGCCAGAGTCATACTCCGCTCATTGAATCATAAGATTGACGACAGGTTCAACTAACTACAATGAATCTCCACAACAGAAATTGATGAATCATATGAATGTTTATTAGTGAAACATACACACGTTTGTAAAAGAGAGTTACAGAGGGAGAAAGAGAGAGAAACAGAGAGTTTAGAAAAGAGAGGTCAATTTCACGGAGGAAATTGATTTTCTTACAAAACATTTAAGTATTTTTTTTGTCGTCAATGCAAAACCTTGCTATGTGCACTCATTCATTCAGAAAAGACAGCTAAAACTTAGATACTTAATATTTATATATAGACTAGTGTTGTTATTCAGAGAAATGTCTACTTTATCAGTGTAGTATGATGGTGCATCTTCATGTGCTACATGTTATAAAAAAAAATAACATAGCGTCTACGTATTCTAATTTTGCAATTCTTACTTTTTGTATATATGTATATAATTATTCGCATGACACATCACGATATCACAAAAAATATGGAAACGTGTTGAGATGTTTAATAAAAAAATATGTACTACTTCTTTCATACGATGCGTACGAATTTACACAGAACCTCGCTAAAATAAACAAAGAAATCACTCCGCATTAACACTCCCTTCAATTTTCCTGTTTAATTCGTTCAACGAGAACGCAACTAATTCCTACATATAGAGAGTATTTTGTCCTTTGAAAATATTTGACATTTTAAATCATGAGAAACAAAATATTTCTTTTTTTTCCTTTATGTATGTACAATATGTTTATACATATCTCGACATACTATAAATTAAAACATTACTATTTTACAGTAAAAACATATTGCGTAAAGCATTACAGTAAAAAAATATTGAGATCGTTTATGGAAGTTGTGAGAACTATGAAGCTAGGTGTGCAATCTAATTTTACATCAACTTTTTTTTATTAGATGTAACTTTTATACTTTTAGACACGATCTTTTAAATGCGTGGCGTATGATTGTATGATTCATCACAATAAAATTTAGAAAGAAAGGTAAAATATAGCTCTATAATCATACATCATATATATATGTGTGTGTGTGTGTGTGTGTGTGTGTGTGTGTGTATATACAGGGTAAGGAATAAATTTTACAGAAAAGTGTTTTAGACAAAAGTTATAAGGCTCAAAACGATATATTTCCTGATCTTATTAGTTTGACCTTGAGTGGTGTTGCCAAGGTCAGGTCAAGGTCAACTTATCTTTTTAAACAGAAATCCCCATTTTTTATTATATTATCTTTTTCTACCAATTAATTTGAACAACTTTTGTCTAAAACATTTTTTTATTTATCTAATATGTTTTGAGATATTTAAGGAAAACTTGATTTTTTCAATACTTAACTTACGATATCTCGCTAACTATTTGTCGGAAGAAAAAATGGTACTAGACTTTTTTACTCTATTTGGTCTCAAGAACATATTGTTACAATAGTTCTCTAATTTTTGTTAATTGGCTTTTGGAAATTTCAAAATCATCAATTAACAAAAGTCAAATTAACAAAAGTCAGGGTGCTATTGTAACAATATATTCTTGAGACCAAGTAGAATAAAAAAGTCTAATAGCATTTTTTCTTCCGACAAATAGTTGGCGAGATATCGTAAGTTAAATATTGAAAAAGTTTCCGAGTTTTCCTTAAATATTTAAAAAAATATTAGGCAAATGAAAAGATGTTTCAGACAAAAGTTATTAAAATTAATTGGTAGAAAATGATATAATAAAAAATTGGTTTTCTGTTAAAAAGAAAAAGTTGACCTTGACCTGACTTTGGTAACGCCACTCAAGGCCAAACTGATAAAATCAGTAAATACATCGTTTTGAGCCTTATAACTTTTGTCTGAAATACTTTTCTGTAAAACTTATATCTTTCGAAATTTTTAAAGGTTTCTATACTTTTTCTTCACTCTGTATATGTACACACACACATACACACAACACACACACACACACACACACAGGATGTTTGATAACTCATGTAGCTATAGCCAGTGAAGGCATAGAACTTGTTTTTCTTCTTCTTCCTCAAAATCTCCTAACTTGTGGAGTTATTGAACAGACTATTCAATTCTTCGATATAATTGACCATTAAAAAACCGTTAGATACATCAAAGTAGAAGTGTAAAATGTTAAGATGCTGAGATGAAAGAGGAAGAACGGGGACAACACAATCGTTGTCCCAAATATCAAAAATAATGCGTTTTACAATAATTTTGCCGTTACGAAGACCACATCCAACGGCCACGAAGGCCAACAAAACAATAATGGAGACGTAATATTTGATCACGGCAAACATAAAAGTCTTATACTGTTTTGCAATATTCGCAATAATTATCGAGTTATTAATTATAGAAATCTGGCGAATGAGCGCACGCCGCGTCGCTATTTTGGATATGCGCTAGCTTTATTTCACCGCTCTTATGTCTCACCGCGCGTCGGTAGCATTTGCTGGATCAATTGGGTCGTATTGTAACTCGAATGGAATTCGTAATGTTCCTCCAATCATTCATATCGGCGCGCGCTCACTCGTCAGATTTCTATAATTATTAACTCGATAATTATTGCGAATATCGTAAAACAGTATGAGGCGGCTTGTTTGCTTTAATCAGTTCCACTCCTCTATTGGCTGTGGCTATATGAATTACCAAACACCCTGCGTATATGTGTGTCTGTGTGAGAAAGAAACAGTAATTTCAATTATTGTGATAATGACACGTCTCAAAAACTTCCAGTCCAATGTGCCAACCAAAGTAGAGCCACATATATCTTATTATAATGTCAAGTCGTGTTAGTTTCTTGCGTCTGCTCGACACCATGTGAAAATATTTCGGTTAGGATTATGCTCTTATCTAATGTAGGATTATGCTCTTATCTATGTGTCATGTTTATGTCTCGTATGCAAAGAGAAACGAATAATCACCGAAATGACATCCTAAACGTCCTAGTGATCATAAGAGGAAGAGTCGCAATGAAGTTCTACTTGTCTAAGTGTAATGTACAGTAGCAGAATAATGACAGTGGTATTTCTCGTACATGTACGACTCGGTATACTTACGTGGCGTACTAGAACCCGGAGGCTTGAAGGTTTCGTTGTATCGCGTGTGACTGTCCCTGGAACTTCGGTGCGCTTCGGGCTCGGAACGTCGCACTTCGCGTTCACGAGAGTAGGTTGTGCTGCTTGGACGTTCGTATCTGCGCGATGAATCGGAAATTAAGAATTAGAAAGACCGGACTGACGAGAAGGGGCTTGGTCGCCGTCGATTCTGAGAGAATTCACAGAATGTATACCTTTCCTTCACCTGCCGCGGGTCGATGGATGACGACGTACTAGACAAGCTTTCTCGACGTACGATGACTTCTCTGCCACGGGAGACATCAGAAAAGCTTTCCGGTCGGCTACTTCTCGACGAAAACTCGCTGCTTCGTTTGAACTCCTTCTTCAGCGCCAGGTCCTGAGCAGATCTGAAGCATATCCGGTCGGGTTAGCGTCATATATATAGGAATATAAAATAGCACGTATAATTGAGATACATTGAAGAAAACTCTGAAATGTTCTGAAGGGGAAGAAGTTATCTAGCGACTATCCCTTTCGACATAAGCGCAGACTATAGTCAACAGTCACCAAATGCCACGTATATAGTCGAATATCGATTACAATTTGGCACTTGCAAATGTTGTCACGTACAACGTGAGCGTTGACTACAGTCGACAGTCGTTCTCAACGCTCACTCTTCTTTACCTTGTTATTAATAAAGTGATATCTCAAAATAATCTTATTTTTTCTCAATCCATTTGAAATGTCTAGTTGAATATTTTGAAAATTCAAGAAGATACGAAGAAATATCTTGGATAACAGTTGGATCCCGAGGGGTCAGCAGAACAGATGGTAATTTGATCTTGAGGTGACCTTCAAAAACCCTGTCAAGGTCAACTTGAAATTTTTGAACGGAATCATGGTTTTTAAAATATAAATCAATTTCTCCGGTCACCTTGCGTGCAATTCGAAAATTTTTTCCTCATTAATTTCCGAGGCACTTCAGGTGAGTATTTAAAACGGGCTACCCTGTTTAATTACTTCATTAGAAGCAAGCGAAAGATGCTTCGCGTTTGATAAATGCTCTCGCGACCATCGCTCTCGGGTGTGAATCTTCCATATCGTAAGGACTGAGTGAAAAAGAAGACAGGCGATATCACCTGCTGGACTCGTATCGCGAAGGCGGCGGCGAAGGGTCCAATCGTCTGTCCGTCACGCGATCCATCATCTCGTTCCGCCTATCGGACACTCTGTCTGGACTGTGTCTGCGACTGTGCTCCGTCGACATCCGTTTCCTCTCAGGCTCCACGTACAGATCCCGCGGATCTCTCCTGTCGCTGGACGTTCTCTTTATAGACGGCGGCGGTGGCGCACGCCTGCTTTCCTCCAAGCGCATCTGCTGTCTCTTCAGTTCTATCCTCTCGCGCTCGAGTTTCTCTCTCTCGAGCTTCTGCCGTTCCCGCTCGAGTCGCAGAAGCTCGGCCTTCTCGTGCTCGATCCGCTCTCTCTCGCGTCTCAGCTTCTCCCGTTCTCTCTCCAGTCGCGCCTCCTCCTCCCGCTGTCTACGTTCTATTTCTCGCTGGCGATCCTCTCTTCTACGCTCCTCTTCGCGCAACATCCGTTCCCTCTCGCGTAACCTCTGCCGCTCGCGTTCTTCCTAAGGATTTATCAAACGTTTTCGCGTTTTTACTCCCCGTGCACCTTTCCTCTTCACTGTTGGTCGTCCCGCTTATTAAAACTGACAAAAGACGTTTACCCTTATCTTCGCAAATGTGAGGACCTCATCGCGCCTCCGTCTCTCGCGACTCCTGGACCGGCTGTAAGATCGGTGATCTCTGTCGCAGGTGCGAAATCGTTTCTCCTCTCGTCTACCTCTCTCGCTTTCCGGCTTCTTGCTGGTAGACTTGGTTGATCGAGAATCAGACTCCTTGCACGAGTCCTCCTTTTTCTCTTGCGCTTCTACTTTCTTGCACTCAGTACTCTCGCTCTTGTCGTCGGTTTTTTTCGCTACACAGACGCAATCATTTCTGCATTACGTAGCGAAGGGTTGTGCGAAGGGATTAGAATAAAGTTGTTAAGATTAGAATATTGTTGTTATACGGGGTGTACGAGAAAGATGAGTATCCCGGATTAACTGAAGGGATAACGTTTTCGAAAAAAAATATTAAATATAAGTTTTAGGATTTGGAAATGGGTATCTAGTGGTGAACTTGAACTTGATCTAAGAATCAAATTTAGAGGTCAAATCAAGGTCAACTTTAAAATCGTAAATAGGAACCCCAATTTTTTATTATATCATCTTTTTCTACCAATTAATTTGAACAGCTTTTGTCTGAAACATTTTTTTATTTGCCTAATATCTTTTAAGATATTTAAAGAAAACTTGGTAACTCTTTCAATGTTTAGCTTACGATATCTCTGTAACTATTTGTTGAAAGAAAAAGCGATATTAGATTTTTTACTCTATTTGGTCTCAATAGTTCTACAATAGTTCCCTAGCTTTTGTTAATTTGGTGATTTTGGAGTATTTTGTATTTAACATTTTTTTCAAAAACGTCATCCCTTCAAATTAATTTGGGGTACCTATTTTTCTGGTACACTTTGTATAAAGTTTGTAATAAATCAGGGATTTACGAACTCCCTGATTAATACTTGGCCGAGTAAAAAAATGTAAAGATACAAGAGTCAGAACTATTGTTTGAGCGGAAAAATTTGCCTCTGCATTCAATTCAAATGTTAAATGTTTGCAAGACTCGGAGATGTTCAATCAACTATCAACACGTCTAATCAAAAGTGCGCCAATAAGATAATCAATGGATCAATGGATCCTGAAGCCGCTTGTCTTGTATATTAAATAAAATTCATATTTTCGTCGTATTTGAAATTCACTGGCTTGGCTCGTTCCGATATCATTAGGTGTTTCGGTTAATTTCCGCTATTCGCGATGTCTGCAAATGTAGTGAACTGTGGCAGCTGGAATTCATGCTATATTAAAGGTTAGATGTTTTTCTATAGAATACAGTCCATCAAGGATTACTTTTGCAAGCAGTGGTATTGTTTTTAAATCAATTCAGAATGGAACGCAATAAATTGTTTTTATATGTTGTTTGATATGTTCTCCTACAGTACTTTGATATAAAGAAAACTGCAGCTGAAGCACATCGAATATTAGTGGAAACTTATGGTGACTCTATCAGAAACAACATGTAGAGATTGGTTTCAACGATTCAAAAGTGATGATTTTGATGTGAAAGACAAGTTCAGGTCAGCCGAAAAAGTTTGAAGACGCCAAACTGCATCATTGGACCAAAATCAATCTCAAACACTCAAGGAATTGGCCGAGGCACTAAATGTTGCAGTTTCGACAGTTTCTGACCGTTTACCGCAATGGGAAAAATTCAAAAGGAAGGAAAATGGATGCCGCATCAACTGACCGAAACGAACACGCTGAACCATGAATCCATCGTCACTGCTCTGATTGCCAGGCAGAAAAAAAAGTTGTATGTACCGGATTGTTATTGGTGATAAAAAGTGGATCCATTATGACAATCCTAAACAACTTGATCTTAAAAATAACGGGTAGACCCGGGCTAACCATCCGCATCGGCGTGAAAACGCAATATTCATGGTCATAAGACATTGCTCTGTATTTGGTGGGATCAAAGTGTTGTGTATTACGAGCTCTCAAAACCGAATGAAACTGTTACGACTGACCGGCACCGACAACAATTATACAGCTTAAAGTTAGCGTCGGATCAAAAACGACCACAAATCGCACACAAAAGAAAAGTAATTCTGTTGCATGACAATGCCCGGCTACGTATTTTGCGAAAGGAAACGCTGACAGAGCTCTACCGAAAGGTTCTTCCGCATGTCGCGTATTCTCCAGACCTGACCCCATCTTATTACCAGTTGCTCCGTTCGACGCAGCATGGCCTTGAAGACACACGCTCCCGACATTACGAAGAAGTCCGAAAGTGGGTGGATGAATCGATTGTTTCAAAACCTGAGTCGTTCTATCGTCGCGGAATTCTTCTCTCACCAGAATGATGGGAAAAAGTAATACGAAATGATGGAAAATACTTCGATCGATTCACTTTGCAATTGAAGAGTAAATGTGTTCTTCAAACAAAAAACAGCGGAAATTAACTGAAACACCGAATATTTTCACGAAAAACGAAAAGACCGCAAACCTGAACGCACTTCAAATATTTTCCACGAGTACTTTCGCTGCACTAATTTTGCCCGACTGTTTCACGAATATAGCTTGCCCGGGCAAGAGAGTTAAGATAGACACCATAAGAAATATTGCCTCAACCAGAAGTTACATCTACGTCTCTCTAGTCCGTATTCGGTAAATACATTTCATCGTTCGATCGTCACCGCAAGGGTACTCACCAGTATCTGACGCTTTCTCTTCGGTTTCCTTTTTCACTTCCTTCTCTTTGCGCTCGTTCAAATCATGCTCCTTCGGCTTCTCTTTCTCTTCCTTCTTCTCCGATTTGCCGTTCACGGTATCTCGTTTACGCACATGGCTCTGCTGCGTATCCCCTTTCGCCTGTTACACAGTTTGCAATAAGAGTCAAACTCGCAGTATGGGTGAAGAGGAACAGGTAGAAACTCACCTTCTCCACGGAGATGACGCGCCCGTGAAGCTCTGTCCTGTGCAGATGCTGTATGCACTTGGTCGCGTCCTCGCTGGTGGACATGGTCACGTAGCCGTAGCATCTCGCTCCTGGAGTTCGAGCGTTAGTGACGACCTTCGCGCCGATGACTTTGCCGTATTTCGAGAAGATCTGCTTCAAATCGGTGGCGCGAGTGCAGGAGGACAGGCCGGAGACCCATAGATTGCGACTGCTGGCGTTGGTAGTGTTGGGCGGTATCTTCCTGTCCACGAAATGGATGGTGGCGTATGCTGCGAGACATTCGTAGGATATCCGCGGCATGAGATCGAGAAGCCAAGTCGAGAACAACAAGACGCGAAATAGAAACGTTACTCTGGGCTTACCTCTCTCCTCTCTCTTCGGGTTTTTGTTGGCAGCGTCCACGCTGAAAGGAATGACATTATTATTGCAGCACAGACAGCGGGGACTTAACGGCCAGGTTACAATGTAAAGTAACGAATTAAGGATTATAAACTATGAGGCTTAATAAGTACCTCTGTAACTATGTTAAGCACATTAGATTTGGCTAGCAACTTTTGCTTTTAGGCGACAACTTTAACTTAAGATACTCTCCGGGTGCCATTTCACTCGTTTACCGCACCACCGTACGTGATCAGTTGATTTCTTTTTCTCTACTTAGATTACTGCATGTGTATTCACTGAGGTATTCCGCTCGTCCATTTTCGCCACTGGTCCATAAGGGAATCGTGTCCATGCGGCAAGCTTTGCACACTTATCGCTCAAAGTGTCCACGAAGGGGGCATCGGCTGCATTGTTCTTCTGAGAGGGCACTTCTCGTCATAGCCGGGACATAGAGGTTTTTACTTCCGCATACGCGTTTGTGTGTATTTTACTTTTTTTTTTTTTTTTTTTTTGAGGGAGGTAGTAAGAGAGTAGAGCGGTATATGTATGTCTTCTCAAGTACAAGCAAGTAAGAACCGCTCCTTCGACACACGAGTTGATTGACAAGTACGCTCTGCCGAATGTAAGATTTACCGTACTAGTATACTAATGTCCTTTGCGCGTTAACACGACGCAACTGCTGTCTTTTGATATACATGTACATACATCGAAACGAACTCATGTCCTCGTCGTGTGGGGAGAGCACAGCACACGGGAACTCATCGGCTTATGCGTGATGTGTGTGTCTATTCTCTCTCTGTTTCGGTAGAGTACGTGCGATCGCCTTTACCAAGTACAGTATAGATGTGCGGGTGGGAATTGCAAACACGACACTCGGGACTAGTAAGTTTGCTAGCCAACTTCTCGACTTCTTAACATACTTCCCAGAGTTAAGAATTACAGCCTAAGCACACGAGTAGAAGAGCAACGTCTGAGAGATTCGACACGTGTATATATACATACATACATATATATATATCTTTTTGGTTTCAAAAAAAAGGGAATAAAACAATCTTGCGTGTGTGACGAGCGATTGCGCATCTTGGAAAATCCATTTCCGTCCGACGGTACAGAGAGCGAGAGAGATCCCGGCGATACGGTATGCAGCAGGTAGAACATCACTAGCGGAGTCGTGTGAGACTGATATCCAGTTCGCTGTACCACACAACGTAACTGCGAGAACCGTTTTCTTAGCTCTATGAGAGACCAACCTCTTGCTTCCGTCTCCACCGTCCTGCTTGCTCTTCATCCCGACGTTCGCGCCAGATGCGGTAGTCCCTTCCTTGCCGCCGCCGCCAGCTTCTGCTCTACCGCTGCTTCCTTTCGAGTCTCCCTTCTTGCTGTTTTCTTCCATTTTCTTCTTCTCTCCACCATCTGCAGAGACAATCAAGGTAGCATAGTCACTTTCTGCGAGGCCAGACTCTTCTCCCTCCCTAAAACTCCTGCGTTTAGTGGCTTGTACTTCCAGTCAGGAATTTCGCCCAAGTCACTAAGAGAAGATTTGCACAGCGAGAGCAATGGATGCGGCTTGCATAATTTACAAGCGCGCGCGCACACACACGCACAGTCTTCGACATGGCATATGGTTCTGTGGGGAACCTAAACCTCTCTTTTTTTTTTTCGTTTCCGTTTTCGCTTTCTATACTTTTTTATTTTTTTTCGCTCGGTACACAAAGCGCGCAACAAGCTACCGTAGTACCTTCGTAGTTTGCGTATCTGCGCGGGACTTCCGATCTGACAGGCCTGAGCCAGGGGGGGGGAGAAACTAGAGAGGAGTGCGCGGCGCAGCGACGACGCACGGGCGTGTGTTTGTCGCTTCGCCGAGGATCCGCATATCGCTCCGTTGCCAATAAAGCGCAATAACTATAATGCACGGGCGCGCGCGAACGAAAGGCGAACGGCGAAGTGTGTGCGACGTGGCTCGCGGGTATCGCGCGACAGTGTAACATTCCGTTCGCTATGAATCGGGCACTACGTCCGAGGTCACAAGGTCCCGAAGGTACTGGTACTTTTTTTGGTTTTTGTTTTGATTTTTTTTTTCGTTCCGCACGCGTCGAGGTAACACGCGTGGTGCTGCTGATCTGTGTTATTTTTTTTTTTTGCGAGAACTATCCGCAGCTTTCGTGAGATGTTCGTACTTGAGTCCTCTTGAGTCTCTCCGTGTGACTTGGCGATAAGAGAAATCCAGCGATGCTCTATGCGGTAGGTATGATTAGTGTGCAATTTTATATCAAATTCTAGCGTTAACTAACTTAAAGACTAGACGCTTATGGGGTATGATTTGTTGACTTTTTTTTGGTATGCAACGCATGGGCTGGCGATTAGCTGGCGCGGAGAGATGTCGGGAGTCGTTTGTCCTGCTTGAACCCGATTATCGGTCGCACCATGCGTTTATCACCAGTTGTAACCTTGTCGGTTGTCCGGAGTGCACTTCAACAATCATCATAACACGCCACGGCTCTGCGTGGCTGGCTATGTAGCATCTAGACGTTGCGACGAAATTCACGATGATAAGAGGATGACTTGCAGAGCCGGCGTGGAGGGCGAGAGAGAGAGATAGAGAGAGAACCGTTGGCCGCGCGGCGTTGACGCGACGACGAAAGTGCCGACGTTACCCCGTTGTTCCAGACAGTTGCAGTTGCGCGCTAGTACGTTTCGTACTTGAGCATGCTTACTCTTGATGCCGGTGCTTTCTCGTTAACTTACTCGTAGGCACGAAATAGCTATCGCCATTTTCTTAATACCTTAATGGAATAAACTTACACCTAAGTTAGGAGATAAGAAGCGCTGAAAAACTCACCCTTGTGCCGCTCGTGAGATTCGGTCTGCAACGAGAGAATGTTACCGTTAGAAGAATGTTCCTCCCGCCGGGGCGCTCGCCACGGCCATCTTGGATCGTGACGGCGGAAGCGAGGAGGTACGCTCTAAAGATTCTGGCGAGATACGTTGACGTGAATAGACATGTTCACAAAATATAACGCTCGCGACCGATTGAGGTCTGTGAAATAGTACGGACACTTTCCCTTCGCCGTAATGAGATCGGTAAATGACTGTAAAATTGACGTGACATAATCAAGAGGAAAGATGTGCCTAGAAAGGTAGGTCACACGGCATGTTAATTTCACAGTAATTGGTCGATTGTCAGGATAAGAGGAAAGAGTGTTCAGACTACAGTCTGAACACAGATCTGTTTGGCCGATCGAAGATGTCACTTTGTGGATGTATCTTTTTCACTTCAACATATTTTGCAACAATTTTCATATACTCCCTCCTCGTTTTTGATGTCATCAGTAGTCAAGAATTGCGCGTCGAGGGGCCTTTAATTTTCATGCATATAGTATTTGTATCCATTATACTTTATGTATATGCGAAAAACCAAGAGTCTTGGAAGAAATTATTTCAAGAGGGTATATCGAACGAGCGAGCGAGCAAAAGAGTGCGAGAGAAAAATTATTATTATTTAAGACCTCTGGCCGCGGCCATATTACAATGACATCAGAGGCAAGAAGAGATATGTTGAAAATTCTCTCATGTATGTGTACGTGCGTGCACTTCTAGATAAAAAATTTGTATGGAAAAATATCTCAGGTCGGTAGAACATACTTCGTAGAATGCTCCGAATATTATGCTTTTCTTTTGAAAATCAATAAACAGCTATAAAATGACTAAGATTGCTCGAAATAATTGCGCCTGTGCATGATAGTTCATATTACAGTCACATTATAATTATTGATTGACTATCGAGAGAGAAATGTTTTACAAGTATGTTCTAAGAGATATTCTTTTATACAAAATCTTCATCTGGGAGTGGCATGTAAGAATTTTCGGCATACCTTCCCTCGCTTCTGATGCCATTTATCAAGAAAGGAGCCTCGAGTGCATAAGACTCCGAAAATGATCTGCTCATTGTTCCCCCTCCCTTTTTAACCCCAACTCGTACCTCCTCAACCAGGAGATTTTCCTCATCCTCTCCAATGGTTAAATTGATCGAGTCCTCATTGTCAATTCCATTAGCTTCGACGGTCGCGTTCGAAGATTGATTCGCGGCGCTTGTCCTCTCCACGTCATTCTTCTGCGTACTTTCGCTGGTAGCTTTGGTTGCATGTGCCTCTTTAGAGAAATTATTCTTGTCTCCAAATGACAATTCCTGAGAACAGCAAGATGTAAAAGAGATATATTTTTAATTTCATCAAAATATTTAATATGACATTATGCTTTACCTCTTTCTCATTCTTAAATACTTTGATACATTCTTCCGTCACATCCTTTGGTTCTGTCTTAATTGCTTCTGTCTTAACTGCTTCTGTATTATCTTGCTCATCAACATTTTCTTCCTTGTAACTCTCTGTATACTCGGTAAATTCTTCCTGGATTAAAACTCCTACAAGTATGTATAAATTTTATATATATTTATATAAATGTATTAAGTTTTAATAAAATATTCTTCAATCTGTCAGATTTAATATATTAATTTGCATACAATATGCTTAATATTGATAGGGATATCTTAACAACCATACATGTATAAAAGTGACTATATACCACTGTTTTTCTTCAAAGGTGTTTTACAGACAGATAGTCCACCGGATGGTACAATAAGATATTCCTCAGGATCTTCTCCTTCACCCGTTATTGCCTACAAATAATTGTTACATTAAGCATTCAGCTCACAGGCACTGTTTCGATCAAGTTTTCCAACTATACATTTCTTTGTCCCTTTTTCATAGGTATATACTTGGACAATAAATCTTACAAAATATATGAATATATTTTGACTTTTAATATACAGTATCACTGATATATCAATGTTATGCAGATATAAAACATAGTAAAAAAAGTTGCATAATAGTAATGTAACGACAACACAGCTGTAAAAAGTTACAGAACAGGCCTAATAGCTCCCCAATATGATTAACATCTTTAGTGTTAATGGACTAATTTTACATTTGTCTATACTGCACAGGCTACTTACAGGCAATACACATCTTATTAACCGAGTTTTACTTGGCAAATAGTATATGCCTCAATAAAGTATTGTATCAAAGTATTGTTTCGTTTTAGAGGCAAAATTTCAAACGGAATAAAATGTCCAGTTAGTAAACACTGGGACATCTCAATAGTAATCACTATTGAGATATTTGACCAGCAAGTAAAAATATCTCATAAGAGCCTGTTTGAATATTCTGTATTGAATCCATATCTACGGGTAATTTGCATTGATCGAAAAATACCGCTTGCGAGAAGTATAGTATCAAGTTGGTGCAAATTCAATATGCTTGAAAAATTACAACGATAGAAAGATTGGAATTCGTCGCTCGCTTCATCTCATTATTGTATTTCGAAATCATGACATTTTCTTACTTAGACGCTACATTTTATTTAGACAAATATCTCGGCTGCAATACAGAATATCGTTACGCGTTAAATCAATAGGGTTAACATGGCGACAAACAGTGCGTCGGCCTCGTAGCAGTGAACAGCGAGTTTCGAGGTCGAAGATTATCCGGCGGGATATAAATGGATAAATATTGTTCACCTGTGCGAGCCGTTCCAAGAGCATTGCCTTATTGCCGGATTTATCCAGACCACGGCGCTCCAACTCCATCTTCAGGTCTATAACTCTGAGCTCGGTCAACCTTTTTCGTTCCACATCGGCCATTATACGCACGACAATGGTGTGTCTGCGAGCCGAGGAAGGTAGATCGTAGCACGGCTGATATACTGACGAACGTGAGACGCGGAATCTACAATTGTCATACAAGTAGACTGTAAACAGGCAACACGTAGATTACTTCGGATGAAATATCGAAGGATGATTAAACGTTGCAGGACTTTTTGTCAATCGACAATGTTCACGAATCACGTATCTTCCTCCAAGAGAATACGGCCATTACGGTTTGCTATCGAGCGTGCATTACCGGAAGTCACTGCTGCGTCGCTGTCAACCAAAGAGAAGAAGGGATGTTGTGGGCAGGTTTGAACTGATCCACCACGTACGCGAGGCGCTGCTATACAAAAGTGCACATAAATTACATAGTCGATGTGCACGAATTTTCTCTGTTAGCAAGGGTAATGTCTACAATTTCTTGGTTCTATTCCGTGCTGTGTCCACAAACGAAGCGTTAGATACAGACAAATGATAAACCTGTGTCGTCCTTGGATCTGCTTTTTTCTTTCTTTTTTCCAACAAATTTCTGAATTAGTGCGATAAGTCAGAGAAAATACATCTGTTTCACTCTAACTTACTGCACTAGTTCAGAAGATTTTCGAAAAAGAACAGATCTCATGTTTCACCATCGACATCGCGTTGTCTATAATTTCGGAAGATTTTGCATAGAAACTCTGTGTATGACTTAAAAATGAGAGAAGGAAATAATAGCTGCGTTCAGCAGAAAGCTGCTTATCAAACGCTTAGTGATTATTTCTGATTGATTCATACTCTTGGATCCGTCAAAGATCTAAAAGAATGCTCCAATCATAGATAATAATCACTAAAAGCTGCGGCTGTGTTCTAAGGGTGCGTTCCGTTTCACGCATATGCGCGCATTTTTTATAGTATATGTGACATAAACTATAGATAAATGCGCGCAATGCGTGAAACGGAACGCACCCTAATATTCACTGCTAGTACTGAAAATATATAGTTTGTGTCACGTGTATTATAGATTTTCAGTGCAGGCAGGCAATGAAACGCAGGCTTAGTTTTTTTAGCTGCATTGCTAAACTAGTGCAATAAGTTAGAGCGAGACTATATTCTTTCCTCACTCTAATTTATTACAATTCAGCAGTGCAGCTGAAAAGAACAGCAAGCAACTTTTTTGTTGAACGCAGCCAAATGAATATTATATACACATAAAATGAATATTATATACACAATTTGTCAACCATCTTCGCATGGGAATGTGATTTGAATTCGAATGAGACTCTCAGCTATGTAATTGTTAAACTCTTCTTGAAGATATTGATTATACTTACATATACACAGATGGATTCTAATGGAGAGAAAAAAAAAGAAAAGAACCAGATGCAATCGCATCATTGGATTTATTGCATTGGAACCAAATATAATCTTTGTTTCGATCAACTATTAAATATACATTCTGTAATAAAAATATACTTTTGGAATAGAAATTATTAATAACGATTAACTTTGACAGAGTTTTTGTGAAACTTGGGAACTGCTTTGTCCATGATGTGTGTTAAACATTTTATAACCATTTGATGCATTGACCATCTAGGGCTGTATGGTACATCTTCCAATACTTCTTTGTACATAGCTCCTTGCGGCGTCATATGATACACCGAATACAACGTAATTTGCGGGCTTTCTTTTGGAAATCCTGGAGGAAGGTAGAAATGTACCAAGACATGGAAGTCTAGTTGTTCCAGCATGATAGTACAGTAATCAAATTCCTTCGTGTCATATTCCAGTAGGCTGCAGCTCTGTATCATTAACAGAGCTGCGAGGAAATCTTTTCTCTTCTCAAAACATTCGACTACAGCGTTTATCTGCAACAGGTTGTGTTTAAATATATATGTAAATGAAAATCTAAACTCTTAAATAAAAAATTTTTGTAAATGTTTTTTAACCACTAAAAAAGCATCAGTTGATTAATATGGTTGACGCAGTACATGCCATATTTTGAAATACTTATATATTTCAAACATATGCACACAAACATGTGTATATATATATATATACAATATTGCATCGTACTTTTTCCTCAATATATTTTTTCACTTCTGGAACATAGTCCATCAGATACTTTGTTGTTGGTGGGAATGGCGGAAGATGCAAGGAATCAGGTCCACCAAATGCTTTTTCTAGTGTTTTGGACAAGTAGAGTTTTGGTATGATACGGTTCCAATCTGGTCCATAAAAAGTAATATGGAGCATTGTTTCATTGTCATGTAACTTATCAACACAGGGAGGTAAACAACAATCCATTGATATGCGAATTAAAAATCTTGCTTCTACGGGCTTTCCTCCCAGTGGTAACAATATTACTTCTATATCATCTACATGTAATTCTGTGTTTCCAACAAGTGTACTATATTCAAATTGCAATCGATCCCCTTGTTGCGCGAGAGATTCTATCTGAAAATAAGAAATCATTCTGTATCTTCTTGAGTGTGTGATAAAGTTCTAGATTACACAAAATATACTGCATCAGATCCTAATATTGAAGGCAAAATTGTTGTTACAATAGTGTTATTTATAATTTGATAAAAGTTACAAGATATATTTACCTGGTGTTCTTTGTAATACAATAACAATTCAACCAGAACATTGAGTAATGCATCACTATCTGTTGGATCCCACTTGACAAGACTAGGTACCTTGGTGGATAAAATATCAATATCTGGGTCCATTAGAAAAGTCTGATCATTGAATATAAAGTCTGGACCTATTTCAGGATATTGTGAGTCAAACAACACAGTCCACAATAGATTTTCATAAGCATAAGGTATCGTCAGCTTGTAACAATCATTGCTGGATTTGTTGCAACTTGTCGGCCCCTTGTTCAGTTTTACTCCACCATAAGAAATGCCTTGACAACGTACAAAATATTAGAAATGGAAGCGTTTTATTAAATGTATAAATGAAGCATATTAATTATTGACGATAAATAAACAGCGGTCCTACCGAGTCTTTTGGAGTGTAAAACACGCTTTAAAAGCGGTTCCGTATAGGGATCTATGGTGTTAACCAGCGTATAACGTTGACGATACTCGTCTATCATCTTATCGTCGAGGTCGAAACAGATTACACTTGCATAGCAGATCAATCAAACAAGCAGGTGAATTAATATTCCACTGTTTTACGCAATTAACTGACAGTGTGACAATTCAATTCTCGTTACATTCTTTTACAAACAATGCTATCAAACATTCAATCGGTTCCACCTTCTACGCTTCTCGTGCTTCGCAGCATGCGAAGCATGAAATCAACGAACATAAACTACCAAAATTTGATTAGACGCGCATGCGAATGCAACGGTCTTCGACTGCAACGGAATGCATACATATATAGGGTGATTCGGAGTAAACTTCTTATTCATCTAAATTGTTAATTTCAATTTCTGCTCTCTCTTTTTCTCTTTTCTTCTCTCTCTCTATATATTTAAATTTTTATTAAATCATATAGAATACGATTTGTTAAATGTTGCAAATACTTTGAATTACCATATAGGCCGTGTTCCAAAATTCACTGCCAGCGCTGAAAAGTTTTAGTTTGCGTGACACAAACTATATATTTTCAGTACTGGCAGTGAATTTTGGAATACGGCCATAATAGCCTTTCTTTTAACGTTCAAAACGTTTGTAGTCTCAAATAGACCCTGCTTGCTATTGGTTAAGTAACAAGGTTGCGCATGTGCAATTCATTTTTGGAGACGCTAACATCAAAGATGTCGACAGAAAGTGTCGCTATTGGATATACTGTGTTAACGAGTTTTATTTTTAATTTTACGCTCGATCTGATCGCGAGTTATGAACATTCCTTTCTTTCGGTGGCAGATAAAGTTAAGTGATAAAAACTGTTAATCTCAAGATAAGCAATCTTTACAAAAGAATATAAATTCGTAGATTCGCTTAAAAGTAAGAATATCCTGATAGCACATGTTCTCTTGGGGACATTCTAAGGACGTCCTGAGGATGAAGAAACATCCCCAGGACGTCCTCAAGACTTACTCTGGACATCTGTGCTATTAGGGTATCTTGTGCTTTCTAAACATAATTAACACTCCGTTTTTCTCGTTCGTATTTTTATAGTTTATCTTACAATTAAAAAAAGCTCGCGTAATATCCAATGTTTTACTCCCGAACTTTACGTTATAATATTGCATTTTATATATTTATATTTATTTTATCCTATATTTGTTGTCGTTTGTATGAGCGACCAGTTAAAGTAGCAATGGGCGATATTGAAAACAAAAATTAACGCTTAAACAATCGATTATTACAATAACATTGATTTCTAAAATTCAAACCGATCATATCTCAAGAATATTAAAAGTGATCGATTTTTCATTTTCTTATATCTATTCGATCTTTAATAAGTTATTAATAATCAATGATGAATCTGTTTTTAAGAAATAGAAATGAATGAGTCATACTACTTTGAAAATGCTTTTTCCGACCAGACGTTGAGTTGTACTACGACTTCGACTCGTCGATAATAGTAACTCGCGGTTGATACTTTGGAACTGGATATTTTAAAAGTGTAGTTACCGACAAATCGAGGTCGTAGTATAATTCAACAACAAGTCAGCCGGATCATTTATTTACAATATATGAATAAAATGACATTGTCAAACGACTAAAGTTCAAATAGTGTTCAAATGTTAAATCAAAGAGACTTTTGCATTTATGTAGCTACGTGTTGCATTCTTTTTTCTTCGTTTTTAAGCTTATATAACGAACTCGGTAAACAAGGCATTGATAAAAACAATATTCTCAAAGAGATAGCTTCAGCTTAAAAAGTTTATTCCATAAGCATTCCTCATATTAGCCTTCCGCTTCTTCGTTTTAGCATAGCTTCATATTTCGCGCGTTGTGTAACTAATGTCAGTACTAAAAACTAAACCATTGGTAAGGTATAAAGTAGCAATTTGCCTCGTAAATATGCAGAAATAATTTCATAAAGAGGTCACCATTACGGATTATCTTAATTATGCAAACGCGTTTTTATCTAAAACATACAACAGCGCTATCGAGTATCAATTGCCAAGGTGATGTTCATTTAGCTCAGCCACCAATCCAACTGTAAGTTTTTTTTATGTAAATATTACACAATAGTCCGTAGCTCCACTTTTCTTTTCTCATTTGCACACAGTGCTTCGCACGTATGTGTTGTATATAGGTATCGGTATACATTTGATCACTGTGACAAGACTCACGATGCAAAAGTCGTCGATGACACTAAAGGCCACTGCATCCGCATGAAAGAATCGTGTGTACAACGTAACTTCTACTTCGAGTGACATTTTGAACACAGATTTTTTTTTTGTTTTAAGAGCAGTATGACGATAAGTATCCCATGTGGTTAGCGTATCTGGAATACACGAATGCGGTTACCTTAACATTGTAAAGGAACTTGCGTGCGTTTGTGTCGTGCTTAAGTATAATAACAGAATGTTGTATTTTCGTTATTACAAATATGTAATATGCGTTTCCTTACGTCTTCAATGAATAGCTATGAGACCAGATTCTAAGAGTTTTTGTAATTTAGCGGCTATGTCGGGATTCTTCAAGTGGCTGCAAAGAGAAGAGAAAGACTCGTTAATATTCCACATTCGGAATAAAGAAGCACTCGGGTCCATTATCGGAAAGCGACGTGTTTTCAAGAACCTCCTCCCTCACTATCTTATATTGTCTGAGATAAAAGACCCCAAAGAGCGCAATTATCATAGATTGTATATCTTGTTTCCCGAACGGACAATGTCCTTTCTACGCGACAAATAAACGAACTCACACCAGTTTTTACTTTTAATAAAAGACAAGCTAACTACTTTTTAATAAAAGACAAGCTAAGACTGAATTATTCACGTGTCCATCCACGTGTATACTCACTCCTGGAGAGCCCGTGGGTCACTCTGCATTTGCTCTAAGATCAGCCTCATCGCCGGGTCTCGCAGTATGCTTTGTATCTCCGGATCCGCCATCGCTCTCTTCCTGACCTCCTCGGGATTGGAAGTGGCAGACACGGCGCAGGAACGGTAGCCGTCCAGCGCTTCGCTGTTCTGCGGATCCAACTCCAACGCCTTCTGGTACGCTGACAGCGCCTTGCCCTGCTGCTGCATCGCCTGTAGGATCTTCCCTTTTCTGATCCAGCCCTTGATGAACTTCGGATCCAACTCGACCACCTTCTCGCAGTCCTTCAGTCCGAGGTCGAACGCCGCCAATTTGGTGTAACAAGCTGCCCTGTTGCTGTAGTACTTGGGATCGTCCGGGTTACGCAGGATCGCCTCCGAGTAGTGCTTTATCGCCGCGGGGTAGTCGCCATCTTTGTACTTTTGATTACCGAGCTCCTTCTCGCTCTCCGCTTTCACCGGGTCGATGTAAGCCTTCCTCTCCTCCTCCTTGATTATCTTATCTATGTCTGAGAGCAAGGTCTTGATCTCCGGAGTCCTGTGCTCCGACATGGACTTCTCGTAGTACACCTTGGCCTGCTTCCAGTTCCCCATCTTTTTGTAGGCGTGACCGATCCTCGTGAACGCCTTCGCTATCAGCTTGAAGTCTGCCCTGTTCTCGCGGCCGATCTCGATGGCCTTCTCGCATTGGCTGATGCACTTCTCGTATTCCTTCTGCTCGAAATACACCGCCGCTATGTTCAGCAGGTAGATGATCTCCGTCGGGTCCAACTCCACAGATCTGTTGTAATGCTGCAGCGCCTCCTCAAAGTTCTTCTTCTTGTAGGCGGCGTTACCGAGATTCTTCTCTTCGAGCGCTTTCTTCTTTTCCGCCGGTAGATTCTCTTCTCCTTTCTTTCTCTCAGGCTTTGGTTCCGGCTTGGGTTTTGGCTGTTCCGGTGCATGCATCGGCTCGGTCTCCATCGGCTCCTCCATGTCGGTGCTCATTCCTAACAGCACACTGAGAGTTGTAAGTACTCTAGTGTCTTGCAGCTTAGTACCAAGACTTTGTGGATTGGTTCGCAGTTCTTGCAGTAGTTTTATGTAGTCTGGGTCGGACAGGTAACCCTTTGTTCTGGGGTCGTTGGCTAATTTAATGAGAATATCCGGAGAATTGAATGGATTCGATGCAGCTGCTGTTCGCTGTGCTTTCACCTCGGCCAAACCACTCTTGAGCTGTGCATTATTCGGGTCCAACTGAAGACCCTTCTCATAAGCGTTGATGGACTCTTCGTATCTGCCAAGGTACGCCAGGGCACTGCCCTTGCGCGAGTAACCCTTGGCCCAGTCTGGTTTCAGACTAACAGTCTTCTCAGCATCTTCCAATGCCTGCTTGTACTTCTCAGCTTTGGCATATGCTGCCGAGCGATTGCTATAGAGCACATGATTACCACCGTCCAAAGCAATTGCCTCAGTGTAATACTTGATGGCCTCGTCGAACTTGCCCTCTTGCAGAGCAGCATTACCATTCTCTTTCAACGATGTTACCTGTGAAGCGACATGCACATGAGAAAATTATGCTGAAATTATGGCAGAATAACACGAGGTTTCTCTAGTAGAATTTATAAACAAGACAGACTCGGAGCACGAGACCATTGGCCGCGGTGGCTGAGGAAACGCTAGTCGAGGAAGCGACACGCACACGGCCGCGTATCGCGTCCCTCTCACATCGCTGATTAAATAAATCCGCGCCGTTGAGGTGCTTTACCTGATCCATTTTACGTGCGCTGGAATATATGTCTCTACCTCGTGCGCGACGACTATCTCTGTCCGACCGCTCACCGGAAAGAAATGCAATGCGGGAATGACTCGCGCGATTCTTCGCGAAACCTCTCGATCGCACTCGTGCCGGCATAAAATCAACGCGAGACTCGGAAAGCTCTAGAAATCGGGCTCGCAGCGCCTTTCGTTGTTTATTGCGCAACTACTTGTGGATTTAGTTTTACTTCACACTTAACCTCGAGTCTCGGTCAGGCAGGATTTTAATCTCGATCGAACGTCGGTAAAACTTTACCGACAGATCGATACGGCAGCCTGCGGGCGATGGTAGGGTGCGACGTTACCGACCATTACTTGGCGTTCGAACTTAATGAGGAAGTCAGACCTAGACAGAACAGAAAATGACATCAAAATGATGAGGAAAATTCTTTTTCTCACCATGATTCGGTCATTTTCTTGTCATTTTAATGTTGTCATGATTTTTTTGTTCTACTTGGGTAATTGCTAATTTGAATGTGATGGATGGTCTCGCCGTTATTTCTCTTTGCAAATCCTAAAGACGTCCGCTCGATTATGTCTTGCTGTCTTCTGACGTGTTTTGATTGTGACGACAGAAGTTGGAAATTCTTGCTCGCCTTTCTTAGAGAAAGAGTAGACATGGAGCGAAAGAATGGTCTCTACTCGATCTGACCGATCGCAAATATTTTGTGAACGGAACCATTTATTTCGACGTCCTATTTCGCAAGAGTTTTCGAGCATATCTTCTCACTTCAACGTGATCATTCGAAATGACCGCAGCGCGAGGAGCGCTTCAAAGATATCTTTTATATAGGCGCGCTCGTTGTCTGCTTGTATACAACGATTCTCGTCTCCGAATTTGTTTCAACACAGAATAACGTGACAAATAGCGTAGAGTCGAGTTGACAACTTCTTCGACGTACAACGTCACACGAAGCGATTTTAAAGATAATCTAAAACTCTGGGAGAACCGAAGGAAATTCGCCTGTGAAGTTCCTAAGCAGAACGGAAAATCATAATGACGTCAAAATTACGAGAAAACGACGAGAAAGTGACCGAAAAAAAGTTTTCCTCATCATCTTGACGTCATCATTTTGATGTCATCGTGATCTGTTCTGCCTGGGCTGCGGATAATAATTTTTGACCTGTCGTTTGGAGAAGGCTGCCCATCTTCGATCTGAAGAACCTTTCTCGCGCGTCTCTCTCTCTCTCTCTCTCTCTCTCTCCCTCTCCCTCTCCCTCCTTTCTTGAGAACAACATTCCGTCTTGCCACCGCGATACTATAATTACCCCGCGCTTACGTGTTGGACTCGCTCAGACGAAAGCCCCGTTTCTCCAATATCCCAATATACCCCGAAAGCGACCGAAAGCGTGTCCCCTCTCCCGTTCTCCTTCATCCCCCTCTGTAGACCGAGCTCGCTGAAAAAGGAAGAAGCCCGCGAGCTTCTCGGAATGCCTAGACCGTTACACGCTGCAAACTCGAAATAACCGCACCGGCCGGTCCTTGCTCTACATTTTTACGTTACCGCTTCGGATTTAACCGCGCCGCTTTATCAGCATCTCTCGCAACCTCGGCGATCCCGTCTCTCGCGGGCCCATTCTAATTTCTTCACGGTAAAACAACGACGAGATAATGCGTCACCGAGCGGGCGAGATCCCCTCCTTCCTTCCTTTTTAATATCGGCTAACGGCGCCTATTAAAAGGCGCGAATTCCCAAACGCCATTTTACGATAAATTGAGATAATAGAAAAGAAAAGTAAGAATGAAGTGTGGCACGAAGAACAAACAGGCACTACGCTTACGCAGTCACAATAGACAAAAATTAAGCGTAGATTCGCAGTGACAAGAACCACATGCAACGGCCTCAAAGGCCAACAAAAAACTAGGCGAGATCCCCCAAAGAAATCGTGACGAATCTATCGATGTCTGGATATCGAGTTGCGAAGAGATCTCACGTACCGTTGACTTTGGACGCTATATTTCTCGACGTATAATATCCGTAACGCAACAAATGCGCCGGATAACGCACACGAATGATGCCTAAAAGGCGGTTCTTTCCTCTAAACTTATATCTTCTGTTTGCGATCCGGGAATTTCCAGATTTCCTCGTGAGAATGTGTCGGCCGATCGCGTCCGTGTGATTTCTTTTTATTTTTCCTTCGCGCGCCGTAAATAACGACGCCGTGGCCGGTGGGAGGAATAAAAGAAGCAGCAGACAGAGGCTCCGGGATTTTGCAACACGTTTTTTTATTAAAAATAATTATAGCCTTTATATATGTGTATAACAATAATGATATTCGCTGTTGTCGTTGTTAATAGTACACCATGAGAATGATATACGCGTTTGCGCTTGATTAATCTAACGGAAGATGATTATGTACACGAGGATGGGTGGCGCGAGGGGGGGAGAGGTGGTGGTGATGGTGACGTGGAGAGGTAGGAGACAAGGGGTGTGGCGGTTTTGGCGGGGATGCTGCGATGGAAGCAATTTCGTACTACTGCACAATGAACACTGATCCACCTAACATTCGATCGCCTCCTGGATCTCTCTTTGCGCTCTAACATATACACACGCACATACACGTGTACGTGTGTATACATGTATAAATACACAATGTGTGTACAATAAACTATAAGTCGCACGTGTAAGAATGTGTTTGATTACTTCGTCCCGCTGACGAGAGCTAACGAAATGTTGTGTGCCGTCCGACGTGGCGACTTCGCGTCCACAGTTACGAGCTACGGTTTGTAGAAGACAACAGTGACACTTCCCGCAAGTTCATTCGTGCACGCCGAACGCGGGTCGTCCTCTATATTTACACCGTAGAACACCGCGTTCCAGCCAATCATTCGCGAGCCATTCCGCACTCGCGCACGTCCGGCAACTCGGTGTGATTCGCGCGCTTCGGCCGAGTCGTTCTCTTCTCGCTCGAGGACCTCGTCAGGACCTAAGTAAGTTCAACAGGCTCGAATCTTCAGGCTATCATAGAAGAATGCAGGAAACAGTAGCGCGTGGGCATCTCGACGACGAGTCCCGCTGATGGGCATAGAATTCTAAGAGCAGTAACCATAAATTAACGACGAGAGGGAATCGCGAATCAAGCGGTAGAGCCCTCGCCCGAAGTAAGGAAGAGTCCTCTTCAATAAGTTGTGTCGACACCCGAGGGAGGTTCCCGCAGGTGCACATCGCAGAGGATCAACGCTCGCTCAGGGTCGTTCTCGCCCCTTTTCGCACTTGTACTACTTCAGCCTTTCCTCGACATCTGGGTATGTGTACACCTCGAGACTGGGACCGCCAGACGCGCAGCTGATACTAAGGGGAAACTATCAGGACACTCCTTGAATAATCGTCGATGTGTTCTCCAGGAGAGATACATCCCTCCAAAGTGCGTCTTCCTCCGGCTGGATTTCTCGGTCCCCAAGTCTGACGGTCCTTCGTTCGAAATTACGTTGCACGCCGCGAGAGGGAGCCTTAGGGGAAGGCATAGGTTGTCTCCTTTCAGTTACTTCGTATCTATCTGTCGTTGCTTCGTTCGTAGTCGAATATTCGTTAGTCGCGTGTATGTGAGTTCGTTTCTGAGATCTTCTACTCCCACGCACATTCACCGTCGATCGTTGATCGCTCGATCCGTCTTCTCCGCACGACTCGCTGCCGGTATTCGTTCGAGAGAAAGAAAAGAAGAAGAAGAAGAAGAAGAAGAGAACACGAGGAAGAATGAAGCGTACACAATAAATCCAGCATTGCGCAACAGTGGTAATACTTGTCAATTAAAGGCGCTCATTTATGCGCGCCTCGTGTATAACGCGTAAGGTGCATCGGAGCTGATCTCGCGGAGTCTCGTTTATCTTGCCGCGACCGGCCGCCTATTTTTAATCCATTCAGCATACGGAGAGATTGCATGTGCACATGTCGGACTCGAGATACAGCAACAGCGTGGTGCTGTCGAACTCTCATTATCGGCGCGAGCATGACTTATGGCTTCTTATCGAATTTCGTCCGCTTTAATCGGGCGCGCCTCTTCGCGTGCAAATTACTGGTAGTCGGGAATAATCGCACAGCTCTCTCCTTCTCCCTCTTTCTTTCTCGTGTTCTCGAGTCCGTTCACCCGAATCAAACGATTTTCTCTCCGTTATCGGATTATCGCCGAATTTCTTCTTCAGGACGCGACGAAATTTCGAAACGCTAACGCGTTCACCTCGGATGACTTCCGACTCGATGCGATGAGATATCTCACCCCGCCGGGGTCACGAGTGCAACGCGATGTGACTTCGTGAGCGCGATGCACTTCGAGATACGTCTTGGTGTGCGCATTTGTTGCATACGTTGTACATCATGTCTGCTCTTTCTCTCTTTCTCTGGTCCATCTGTCGTCCATCCGATGGGCCGGAAGAAGGACGTCCACCTCAGACACCTCAGACCTTGACCCCAACCGCGTTTTGCACGTTGACTATCGTAGGCAAGAAATTCGCCGCCGGCGACGACGCTGTTGCCTCCTCGTCCTCGCTCTCGGAGTCCGAGGACTCCGGCAGCGGCTGCGGTGACGCGCCGAGCCGCACCAGTTCCCGGGCGAGCTGGATGTCGTCGAAGCACAGGGCCAGCTGGTAGGCCGTCATGCCGGCGTACGTCTGCGCGTCCAGGCAAGGTCGGCATTCGTGCAGCAGGAAGCCGACCACCAGTCGGCACCCGCGTTCCACGGCGATGTGAAGGGCTGTCCTGCCCGCCAAGGCCTCCCTCGCCTCGAGATCAGCGCCGAGGCGCAGAAGAAGGCGCACCAGGTCCACCTGGCCGTTCGCCGCTGCCACGTGTAGACACATCTCGCCTGCAATCAGAAAAATCGTCACGCGATAAGCAAGGCTTATTATTATTATTGAATATTATTGTACATACAACATCGCAACGGACGTAAGGGGATATTGTACAAAAGCGACCAAGAGAAGAGCAACGGTGAGTTGCTGTAATATCCTGAAGTGAGTCTCTTCAAGGAGACAGACAGATACCGGTGAGATTGTCATGTTTGTCAGTCACACCTTCAGTGCTCGAAATGGGGATGTGTTAGTGCTAAAGGCAACGGCATCCATCGGTCTCCTGGAGTAAGCTTTACTCTGATATATCATGAATATTAAACCTGGTCCAAGGACAATAACAAAATACTATAAACGAGGAGGTGGGCAGTAGACAGGAGATGAAAAGGCAGACACTCGACGCTTCTTCACCGTTAGAAGATTTCACGACGTTGCCTCGACGCGATCAGAGTTTTCTCTCTCTCTCTCTCTCTCTCTCTCTGTCTCTCGTGTCGAATTCACCTCAAGTTTTCCGTCATCTGATGGCGGGGAGAGGCTCCGCAGGGAGGAAGCTGTACATGTACGTCGGAATGATGCGCGTAGTCACATGCCTCGACGTGAGATATAGATAGAACTAGGAAGACGCGGTGAATCATTGTCGTCGGAGGTTTGGCCGGCGTCCCGCGGTCCAAACTAGGCTCGCGCCGATCAAAAGTAACTGCTAAAATTAACCGCGCCGCATTAGCAGCAACGGCAGCGGTGGCGGTCGCATTGGCGGAATTTCGCCGATCCGCGAGTCGTCATAACGCGGTGCATCACCTATGCGAGTCTCACCGTGTCACCAGGTCAATTAATTCGTCGCGTTTTCCTCGAATCTTCCCCCTCGCCTTCCCCCCTCTGCTTTTTCTCCGTCTGTCTGGCCGGCTTTGTTCCCGATAGCCCGTCGCGTGACGCCGAGGACAGAAAGCGTGATACGAGGGCAGTCGAGGAGACGGGATCGATAGAGCGTGGAATTCGACGTCACCGTCCACCATGGCCGAAATCGTTGCTCGAGGAGGATCGATTTTGAGTAAGGGTGAAAGTCCGACGAAAGCCACTGACGTCGACGCCGCTGTGGGGTTTCCCGACGCGAGCCGAGGCGACGCGAGAATATCCCGGCACGCAAATAGTCCTACCGGGTATTTTTAAGTATCAAAAACATCTGTGCCCGCGCTCCTCCTCGGTCTCTCGCGGCGCGACGCGACGCGACGCGACGCGTCGCGTCGCGTCGCGTCGCGTCGTGATGTAACGCACGCACGCACTCGAGACGCACCGAGGAATGTCATCCGTTGCACATGTGAAACATTCCTCGAGGTTATCCTTGTGCGAACCGTTGTCCTTAGATGGACTCGACTCGTTGAATGTGTTGCCTGAACGTCTTGGGAAGCGGAAATTCACTCGGGGCGACCGAAGAGCGGCGGTATTTTCTCGTGCTCGAAGCGCTCTCTGAGGAAAAAGTATTAGTACGGCGAAAGAACTCCAATCAGCAGGGCAGTATTTTTCAAGGGTTTGCTACAGTGTTAATTTATAGCGGCAAAATGTTACACGCACAGGTTGATGTGCGATCATGGTGACCCCATGTTTTTTCGTCTGCAGGGTCAGTTATGGTTTTGGAAAGCTGGTAGCTTTTGTGGAATGGTAGTCTCTTAATATAGGTAATTTGATGAAACATTTAACGGGTTTTTAATCCTTGAGCATTGGTAAAACTCTGGATTAAGAAGGAAGCGCAAGCGTTACCTCCCCCCCTCCATGTTCCTCATGGTCGCTATGTTGGGCCCATAACTGTCCATTTGTAAACAGAGCAACCTGCGTATCTGATGCAATTGGAAGTCACTCAGAAACGTTCTCATTTTAATTCTAACATTGCAATTAACGTTAAATAAGAGATTCTTGAAGTTATGGGATATCATATCGAGTTGAGAAATGCAGACCATCTTGGAGCGTGACATCAACATTTCGTTAAAATAAGATTATTATCATAATATGACTTTTTCTATTTGTCTCATGGATGTCTAAAATGTTTTTTTACAAGGAAATAGCTTTACAAATATATTATTTTGTTTGCTTGCTTGCGCTTCTTTCTTAATCTAGGGCTTTAAGTATCAGGATGGGTGAAAATTCACTTGATAATACTTTCTGACTGTTGCCACTAGATAGCAGTGCATTACACAACGGTGTCCTGTCAGGATTTATGATGTTCATAAATATTTATAGTTTTAGGTGATATAAACTTAAAAAAAGAGTAATAGAAAAAGCGATAGATATGAGTATATTGAACTTTGAACCCTGAATCTTGAACCTATCGCTAAGCACAATAGCCGTCATATAATTGTAGATTAGATCATTCTGAACAAAAAAGTCCTTTACCATTTTGCAAACAAGTACTGAAACCAAATTTTCAAGTTATCGATTAAAAGAGCCTCTAGATGTGGTCATTTTTAGTCACTAATAACTTAATAACTATTACGATTTGCAAAATGGTACTTGACTTTTCTTCTCAGTTTGGTCTGATTAATCTTAATTAATCAGAGTCCAGTCTGTCTTCGACAAAATATCCACTCTTGCAATTTCCACTGGAAACTCATTCGAATTCGCTCGAGTGAAATTTTCACTGAAAAATCAGCCGGACTCGAGAGCCTCACGGAACTTTAGTAAGTGAGGAAAACCTGAGAGAATTCATCAGTGTCGGCTGGTAGATCGAATCGCTGGCTACTTCCGTTCGTTACACACGGCGTGATCGGCCTGGTGCGCGACGTACACGTCGCATGACGCAAAGACCTCCTTTGCATATCGAATGTGACACACATGAGGCTGCTCACGTGCCGGAGTGCTCTCTTCGAGGCGAGAGAACTCTCCCCGTGCGCTTTCAATGCGTGCGACGGTCGCGGAGCGCAGACGACGCCGGATTCAAGGCGAAGTGATCGTCCGCCAGCGACGGGGACGACGCAAACTTAACGCAGCTAATTGAGACATAATTGCGCGCAGTCTCCGACGACGCGGCTGGGAGATTACTTTCCCAGAAACGGTCGGCTTCGAGTCCAGCCGATATCAACAATGACTCGGATCTTCGTCGCCGGATCCGTCTACGTGTTTTCCCAGCCTTCGTCTCAGATATCGCTCGCGTTTTCAAGCGATGTTTTTACAAGAAGTATCGAGAACGAGAGGATTTTATGCTCTCGCGCGATGTTTCGATTGGATGCACTGATTGTCCTGATCGACCGGCTCTCATTTCAGCTTAACGTTCCGCTTAGTGCCTTAAGGAGAATTCACACCTTGACAGAAAAGCAGAAAGGCAGTTTCCAGTCAGAAGTCACGCTGATAGTCTGTCTCTCTCTCTTTTGCCTGCTGCTTTTCTGCCAAGGTGTGAATCCGGCTTAAGAGCAGATTCACATCCAGGCAGAAAATGAGAAAGCAGAACAGCAGAAGTCAAGAGAGTGACAAAGAGAGAGAGAGAGAGACAGACTACCGACGCTATTTGTGATTGGCTGCTGCCTTTTTGCTCTTCTGCCCAGGTGTGAATGCGCCCTTAGGGCGCAAATGGTGCTGACAGTCTCTCTCTTGCGAGTTTTTCTCTCTGTCACTCTCTTGGCTGCTGCCTTCCTGCTTTCTATTTTTCTGCCCAGGTGTGAATGCGCTTTAAGGAAAGATCCACACCTGGGCAGAAAAGTAGAAAGCAGAAAGGTAGCAACCAATTAGAAGTCGCGCTGATAGTCTGTCCTTCTCTTCTGTCTCTCTTTCAAGAGAGAGAGAGAGAGAGAGAGAGAGAGACTACCAGTGCCACTTCTAATTGGCTGCTGCCTTTCCGCTTTTTTGCCGAGGTGTGAATCCGATCTAAGGATCGCTTCGCTTCTCTCCGTTTTCTCGACATTGAACGCTCCATGAGAGCTGCGCGGGCCAAGAGATCGTTTGGGTTTGGTATTGGCCAACGAATGTTCTGCTATCCCGATCCCTTTGAGGTCTCTCATAGTCTGATCCTCTGAGAGAGGATCGACTAGATAATTCTCTACGTTGCTCGTAACTTTCCTTTCAGCGTTCGTCTTGCGAGTCTCTCAGTCGAACGCGGTGTTTCCAAGCGCAACGTCTGTCCATTATTGCTTCCAGAGGGGGAATGTTGTGTGTGATTTCCCGTTTACTCGATAATAGCAACCATCATTGTTCAATGCCGAGGAGCGAAAGCTCAATTTGCGACGACACAATGCGGACTTGAGAGCGCGATTATCTCGAGTGAATCAGTGACTTCTCGCGGCCGCGGAAGCGATACTGCGGAATTATTTCGTTACTCATCGATCCGTCATGTAATTCGCGGCGAGTTATCTAACGAGCGAGGCGCGTCTTCTCTCTCGGGACTTTGCTCCGTCGCGTGTCGCCGGGCTCCCCGTTTCAGGTTCCTTTCTTCTTTTTTCAGCGTCGATTATTAATCGCTCGCGATCTGGAACGATCCGGTCGGTTACGCCATACGCTCTAACCGCGTGCGTGCCTGCGTGCGTGCGTGCGTGCGTTATCCGTGCTCGGCGACACGCGCCGGTCGCCGTCGCGGCCGAGCTTGCGGCGGAATACACGCCGATGACGCTATGCGGGATTTCCAAGACTTTTAAAAAGTCCGCGAACATTTTGCGACGAACGACCGCCGAAGCAATTCTCCACGTTCTCTCCACCGCAGCCTCCGCGGAGCTTGGAGGGAGAACAGGCGCGCACACGTAGAAGGGGTCTAGCGCTTCCGGGCCCCTCTCGCTACTCCTGATACAACAGCGTGGTAATTAGTATCTTATTAAAACCAAATGAGCCTGTTTGAAACTAAATAAATTCGGAAAATGCTAAATGTCCGCTAAAGTTCGAATTTTAACGTTCGGGGAGCGTCGGGGATGATAAAAAGAAAAAAAAAGAAAATGAGCGAAGGAAGTTGATCAAAATTCAGCAGATGGCAATTCTCTCGTCGCGAGTTTCAGGACTGTTAAGCCCGTATCAGACTATGGTTTGGGATTGAGATTGAATTGGAAATTTGATCACAACTGGGAAAAAGAAAATAATCTCAAATATAGTAAACTTAGCTTTGATTGGTTAAATTTCAATCCAATACTCAATCCCAATCCATAGTCTGATACGGGCTTAAAAGAAAGGAGGTTAGAGTTAACAAGTGAATTCTAAAAACGATTTGACAGAAGACGAAAATTTGAGCGATTTTCGCGGCATTCCTCGTCGTTGTTGCGGTTATGCCTTCTCCTGCGAAATTGCGAAAGCGCGCGCCATTGGGACACAGACAATGAAAAAGACCCGGTAAATCCTGACGCGAGGTCGGAGAGAGGGAGAGAAGAGAGCGAGAGGCCGACGACGGGAAAGCCTCGTGACTAAACTGCGGTCTCGGAGGTGCTTTCAGGAAAGCTATATTTTCTCCGAAACGTCTGTGTCCGCGGGTGAGAACGCCTCAGCACCACCCTTTGTGGCGCACGGTGGCTTTACCGGAAAGTAGAAAGAGCGAAAATATTACGATTAAAGTGCGACGATCGATCACTCGACAGTCGAGTATCGGAAGCGAGTTTTCTCGAAATCGATCGAAACGCGCGAGCGTTCGAATTGGCATCTTCGAGATAATAAACGGGTGAACTTTCGCGATGATGGACGTGCGTTATCTCGAAAAAAATATATCAGAATTAAAAATTTCGATATATTAAAAATTAAAATATTTTGCGAAGAGTCATAATATATCGAAATCCGACTGCCAACACAATCTATTGAAATATTCGTGCAATTTTACCGAAAAAATGGAATCGTAGAGTCGGGTATATTAGAATCTGCACATTTGAGCACAGCAAGATCGTACTCGAACGAATAGATTATTATTATTAAATATAATAACTAATATATAGGGTGTCCTATTTTAAATGAGCCAGGCAAAAATTTTCAAAAATATGAAAGATACTAAAAGACGTTTCAGACAAAAGTTGTATGGTTTCAAAGAGGATTAATTTGATGATTTTGAAATTTCCAAAGGTCGATAAGTTAAGAAAAATTAGAGAACTATTGTAACAATATATTCTTAAGATTAAATAAAGTAAAAATGTTTAGTACTATTTCTTCTTTCCACAAATAGTTAGAGAGATATTGGAAATGTTGAAAAAGTTACGTTTTCCTTAAATATCTCAAAAAATATGAATAAAAAAATACGAATAAAAAAATGTTTCAGACAAAAGTTGTTCAAATTAATTGGTAGAAAAAGATGTAATAAAAAATTGGAAATTCCGTTTAAGGAAAGCAATGATCAGTGAATATCTCAAAAGTGGCGCCATCTGTAAACAAAATGATATAGTTGTTTTATGTCCCCATACAATTTTTGTCTGAAACGTTTCTCAGTATCTCTCATATTTCTCCAGATTTTTGTCCGGCTCGTTTAAAATGGGCCCTCTGTATATTTTAAGTATAACAATGAAGTATGTTATCATTTTATTATTATTTTATTAAGTACACGGAAAAGAATATTCTCTGCACACAAGAAAGGAAAGAGATATACCGCATTTTATCACTTGAGCAGAGGTGATATCAGAAAAAAAATTACATATTCTTTTGTAGGAAGGTTGATTAATTTGATTCTTGACGTGTTAATCGATATATCGGGAAACCGATGCTACCAGAGAATTGACCAATGTAACATACTTAATCATAGATGCTAATGCACCTGTGCAATTCTGTGTATTTTCGGTTTTTCCTCGGGACAATTATATACACCGGGGAAGTTTTATTTCATGATATATTAAGATTTATAACTTGGGAAAGTCACACCGCTTTCCGAGCTTCGAGACTCGGATTCTTTAAGGCGATTAATGTCCATCTCCGCGGCGGGACGTGAAACACCAGTGACTCGTCTACGTCTAATCGCACATCGCGATTCATTCCCATGTCAAAGTAATTCCAAAAAGATTTATCGTCACTTAATGACGCGGCGACGAGGAGCGACATTCCGACGTGTACTCCGAAGTCGCGCTCTTATCAGCACTTACTCATGGAGTTTTTGCGCGGGGCCGCGTTACGCTTTATCTGCGCGGATTTTCGTCACGGTAACGCAGGGATTCCCCGGCGCACATAGACATAGCGACATGGACGGGGATTTGCCGATGGGCAGATCTCAAATCGTATCAAATCGTATCGGCGCAGGCGATCGCGTATCGTTATCGGCTTCGTGAAAATCGGATAAACAGCTTGCGGCGGATCGCGTTAATGCGCGGCTCTCGTGATTCGTCATGCGCGAAATCTGGGTGCTCCCGAGAGGCGACGCGTCCGTCTCTCACGCAAATATGCAAATCGCCCGCTCTTCATCTTCGCCCTCCTCCTCCCTCTCCTCCTCTTCGACCTCGCGTCCCAGCGACAACACGACGGAGTCGCGAAAGTGTGGGAACCTCCCGAGATCCAACGGCCGTAAAGCTGTTCGATGCTGCGAATTCGACTCGTCTTTCTCGATTAAATTAACATATTCCCTCGTCGGGGATATATACTCCCCTCCCTCCGTCCGATGCGCGATGGGACTTCCACGCGCGCGCGCGTGAAAACATATGACCCTCGATGAAATCATAGGAAACCCGTACAGGCTCCTCCACGTGTTCACGGCCGTGGTATGATCGTCCTCGCGTATGACTTGTTCTATACACGGTAAAAGCAGTTAGGATTTCCCGCGCCTCCTCGGCCGCGCCGTTCTTTGTGCGTCTCTCGCCGCGCGCCTCACGGACACGGACGCGTGTCTTTCTTCGCGTTAGTGGCGATTAGCGCGCACTTAATCGCCGTCGTTAACTTGAACGTGTCGCAAACTTCTAAATAATTACCCGTGACCGCGAGGAAAATCGAAATGCGGCTTTGTACGTCGCCGACATTTACGGAGAAGGATTGAGTCAACGTGACAATGGACGAGCCAAACGCGTTTTCGTCGCCGAATTCGCCTCGCACTTGGTCTGAAGACTGAAATTCAGAAATTCAGGTTCTTTGGATCCCACAATCGTAATATAAAAAAGGGCCAACTAATATAACATATATTTTGAAATCAGACTATCCATCAATCTTCATTGTCCGAAAATTTCATTAATTAAAATTATTAAAATTAATTTTATTTGTCCATTTTTCGGTCGTACTCGGACCTTTTTCGAAAAGGAGTCGAAACATTTTTACAATTGAGATTGAAAATTATCCCGACTATTGTATGGAGCGAATTTTATTTCTTTAAAAGCTTTAAAATCCCACACAGGCTCTTATAGGTCGCCGTACTTATAGGTCTCCTTCGTCTCCCTCGCGACTCCGAGTGACAACATTTCCACTCTGTCGCCTCGAGTGAAAATATCGTCACTCCTCCCTCGTCTCCTCGACGTCCTTCCCGTGGAAAGAATTAGAGAGCGGATCGGGTTTTCGCAGACGCAGGTGCGGCGAGGGCCGCTGGCGCTTAACGAGCACTCACCGCTGTAATTGCGCTGCTCCAGGTTCTGAGGTAAGGCTGGCACCTTCTGACCAGGCATCAGCTCGTTCCTCTCCATCGGCGACAAGGGATCCGTGAGCGCCTTGGCGCAGGCGAGATCGCCGCTGGCGCAGGCAAGATGGAGGGCCGTGTTGCCGCGGAAATTCCGTAAGGATAGGTCCGCACCGGCCAGGATCAGGCGGCGCACGATCGTCGGCTGATGCGTGAGCACCGCCAGGTGCAGGGGCGACTGGCAGTCGTCGTTCAGGGTGTTCAGCAGGCAGGGGTGCGGCGCCATCTTGATGAGGCTGAAGGTGGCCTCCACGAAGCCCTGCACGATCGCGATGTGCAGTTGCCTGTGAGACAGATGAAGATGCGTAAGGATGCGTAAGGATCAGAGACGAGGCGAGAGACGCACGCCACGATTCGCGTCAATTTCAGGCGCAACAATGACAACGATCGGGAAAGCTTGTTAAACCCAGCGACGACTTCTCGAGGCCGTATCGAAGTTACAGAACGAGAGAATCGCCAGCCATCGCGCGTCGCGTTTATTAATAGATAGGAACGAGCGACCGACGTCGTTCACCTATTGACCTTCCTTCTTGATATCGTGGTAAAACTGTCGTTTCACTCGGCGTCTGTTGACAGACGGGATCGGTGACGTTAAAGCATGCAATCGACATATCGTGTCACATGGAAACGTACTATCTCGACTCCCTTAATCGGCGCATCACCGCTCTTTGTTACGCAACTGCGCATAATTGCCTGTGGCGGGCCGATAAGCGATGCGGTTTCGCAACAATCAAATTCCCGAATCATCTCAGGGTTTAACGTTTCGTCACGGAGCGTGCCGCGTTCTATATTTGATTCCATTGATTCGCCGCGGAGCTTCGCTGCGGGATTGTCGTCGCGTGACAAGCGTTGTCGTGAGCGCGAGTCTCTCTCCTCCTCGGGAAGTGTGCACGATAACGCCGGGGTTTTCTCCAAGTTCCGATTACTCGAGGAAGCCTCTTGAGCACCGATGGGAAACGAGTGTCGAGCGTTTCCGCCGCGATGCGGCGCATCGCGTTGAATTTTTCCTTGGAGTCGAGCCGCGGCGAGTGAACGACTCGTCTCTCTCATGAAAAATTCCAACGCGCGCGCTCGCGCATCACTGCGCACGATTTACCGTTTCTGTTTCGCTGAATTCACCAAAGATGATCCTTATCAAGGATGAAACTTGTTTCATTGAGTCGGTCAACGAGCTCCGCCGAGCGCCACACGTCGAACACACGCATGCACGCGTGTATGTGTGTGTGTGTGTGTGCGTATCATAACCCACGCTATTTACGCGAGAGGATCAATGTCGATGTGACGCATAATGATATTCGCTTGAATCAACGTGTCGCTCGTGTCGCGCTCGTGCAAAAAAAAAAAAAACAGAGGAGAGAAAAAAGGTGCAACTCGCGATAATGAGACGAGATTAGAAATGACTATGCCTCGCCGGGATCTGCATTCGTCCCGACATTTCGCACGATGAATTCCCAAGACTCGACGAGCCGGATAAATTGATAAGTGGTTTCCAACTGCGCAGAGAGAAGCGAGACCCTCGTTATGTTTCCATCATCGTGTCGCGAAACGAGAGACATCGTGTCGAGATTTGTCGAGACGAAACCGAAGAAATCCCACGGATTTCGTCGCGCCGTTCGCGCTGGTCTCCCCCGCCGTCTCAAGATCGACTCGGTAGCGCTGAATCTTCGAAATTATTCTCTTTTGAATACTGAATTATTCATTTCTGGATACATTCTCCAGAGCTTGCACAGAGTGAGCCAAGTTTCCATCACCACTTTGTGAATATTTTGAAATGTGTAGTAGTAGCGGATAATAGCGGAAAAATTCCAGCGTCCAACAGAAATTACGCGATAGATCGGGGGAAAAAATATTTAGAGAGTAAGAAATATTCGGCGAATGAGAAATATATTAATAATATATCTGCTTGTATCAATATACAATTTTTTTGCATTGAGAAAAATTTTTTTCAAACGAGAAAGTATACATTTCTCTAAAATTGTGGCCTGTTGTGAAAAGAGAAGCGATTGTTTACTCGAATTTAAACGAAGGATTTAGATTTAAGTAAATATAGCGGGGGAGGGGGTGTTATGATATCCGACCGAATGAATATTTTTATGTTATTAAATTCCTCGGATACTTTTTCTTTCGATACATGGAGACGATCATCAAGCGTCAGCGGTGACGCTTTCCTTTCGGTCATCATTATTTCACCGAAAGAAGCCCCACTGGCAAGATATTCAAGATGCAGATCGTAGTTAATGCCTGTCTCTGATGAATATTCATGGTCCTTCGGAATATTTAATCACGATAATTTCGATCAGACGACGTCCGTTCGCTCGCCACGTGGACGTCCCGCGAACGTAATTTCCATTTCCTCGTTCGAATTATACCGTCCACCTCTAATTAAACATCAGCTGAGTGAGCTAAAGTTTCGGATGGATCTCTCAAGGATGTCGTGACCGATGCGGTTTTAGAAAATCGTCGGACGACAGAAAACAATGGAGACTAATCGGTGGAACCGAGGAAAAGCAGTTTTCCAGCAGTCGTCCATCTCTCTATCGCGAAATCCATCAAAACTTTCGCACTCGCCTAAAGTACGTCACGTGGCAATTAGCAGTCGCGTCCATATGCCGCACGTACGGCCAACATTCCGACCCTGGACCCGTTGATCGCGTGATCGCATGAGAACGTTGCCAACGAGCGCACACGCACACACACACACACACATACCGTCACAATCGCATCATCAGCACGAGTTAACGGACTGGCGACTTATCGCGACTTGTCCTGCAACTTCCTAGCGACGCATATGTCATTGTCGTACGTCACGTCGCGCAAGTATATCATACCGGCGCACCGCATGTCCTGCACGGCTCGTGACCTGAATTTTAACCCCTTGACTGCTTTGGACGCTATATGGCGCGGAGAAAAAAATGGCCAAGTCTGCAACGGGCGCATCGTCCGAAATAATGGATTTAATAAATTCCGATTTCCACGGAACTTGTTATCCTAAGATCTTCGAGGTCGCTGAATCCGAATATGATATTAGAATTTCAAGATTCAAAATGGCGGACCCAATATAGCGGACAGTGATATGAAAAAGGTTACAGAAGTTCATGAAACTCGGTTTGTAAATCGCAGGTATGCCACTATTTGGCTGAATATCCATATTTTCATTAATAAATGGGTAAATACTTGGAATAAAAGTAAAATCTCCTTTCCAATTCGGACCTTTTACAAGATTATATCAACGAACAGATAGTGAGATATCTTCGATCTCGTCATAAGAATCAGCATCATGATTTTCAATATCATCAGAAGACAATGTGTTGTTCTCGTTCTTTTCATCCTCGGCATTATTTTCCTCGACTAACCAGTTATCATTATCATCGCTTGAGAAGGAATCTATTGAACTTACTGAACTATCTTTTGATTCAGAACTGCCTGCTATTTCATAATAATTTTTCTTCTATTGAGTCTGGGAGATGACATTCTCTCTCTCTCTCTCTCTCTCTCTCTCTCTCTCTCTCTCTCTCTCTCTCTCTCTCTCTCTCTCTCTCGTGTTCATCTTATACAACTTCTATTGAAATAAGGTGAATCTATTTGAAAGTTTACCTGAAGTAAGACTCAAGAAAAAACAATTGATAACGGAAAAATTAAAATTATTTTTTTTGTCAAAAACTATATTAGCTCACACTAAAATACGTTTTATTTAGAAATTATGAAGAAAGCAAATGATAAGAATTGGTCTGGTGATCATCTCAATACACACACGAACTGATTCGAGATCATCCGGGTTACTTTATGTCGTTGCACTTTTGGCACAGAAGGTATTTTATCTCTGACAGTCAAGGGGTTACACAGCTCGCAGGACTCCGTAGAGTCGACGCTTGGGACGGTACAATTTTTTATCATATCATTTTTTTCTATCAATTTAAATTAACTTGAATTGTTGAATCGAGTTGAATTCAAACGAACGACTTTTGTTTGAAACATTTTTTTACCTGTCTAATGTTTTTTTGAGATCTTTGAGGAAAACTCGATGACTTCTTCAACATTTAACTCACTAGTTATTAGTCAGAAGGAAAAGTGATACTAGACTTTTTTACTCTATTTGGTCTCAAGAATATATTGTTACAATGGCGCTCTGACTTTTGTTAATTTAATAATTTCGAAATTTCCAAAGGCCGATGAGTTAGCAAAAGTTAGGACGCTATTGTAACGATATATTCTTGAAGCTAAATGAAGTAAAAGAGTTTAGTATTTTTTCTTTCGAACAAATAGCGAAATATCGCAAGTTAAATATTGAAAGAGTTTTCCTTAAACATCTCAAAAAATATTAGGCAAATAAAAAAGTGTTTCAGACAAAAGTTGTCCAAATTAATTGGTAAAAAAAAAATGATATAATAAAAAATTGAGGTTTCCGCTTAAGAAGAGTAAGGATCAGTGAATATGAGCGAATCACTGCGGAGTGTCCGAATGGTCCTTAAAGTTCACAAGTGTAGCGAGTCTTTAGTCTTCCGCTTCAAGTTTAAAATCAATCCATTCTCGGTCAAAAGCGATTCCCGCTGCGGTCGTGCCCTTAAGCTTCCAGCGAGAAGTTCTCCGGACTCCGGAGGACTGCGTGGAAGACGTGTTTCGCCGAAAATGACAGTAATTAAAGCAAACGGCTAAAGGCTTACGAAAACACTCATCATAGATCAGGTCTGAGAGTTTACGTGACAATAGGCGAGCCGAGCGCGTCTGGTCTGGAGACGGAATTTCCAGTTCCCACGAGCCAAGTTGGCTCCCAACGAGCGGAAATTCTGCCCCCTTCTGAACCGCGTTCGATCTGGCCAATCTTGTTCCCTGTGCATGAATACCAGAGTACGTAACCACACATCTAGCCTAAGCGTCAGGTTCACCTTCAGATGCCAGAATGAAACGGAGCGTTTACGGAGAGAAACAAGCTTGAAGCACACGATTGCTGAACACATCGCGGACCACCTGACCATGAAGAATACCGTCGCCAAGGTGACAAAATCAAATTACGCGAAGGAGCACTCACGTGTCCCCGTCGTCGTCCTGTGTGTAGTAGAGCTCCCAGGGCTCCTCGCTGCTGATGGCGCGTCGCTCCGACGCGACGACGTTGTCGTTGCCATCGTAGCTGCAGTCCTGCAGCTGCTGCGGCTCGACGTCGACGTCGCTGCGGATGTCATAGTCCGACGACGGGTCTGCTCGCACGGGCGTCAGCTCGATGTTGGCTTCGAGCTTGGACTTGGCCTGGTCGAGCGCTGAACGGCTGCCGGTCAACGGGTTCAGGGCGACCTGCTTGAGGGAGAGCTGGCTGAGGCTCTCGCTGAGGCCGAGATCCACCACGAGGCCGCTGTCGACTCTCATTGGCTCGGCGATCGTAGTCGCGGCCGAAGACGACGACGACGACACCGTCGTCGTTATCGCCGGCGCCGGTGTCGCACCTGCTCGCCGCCCCCGCTGCTGCTGCTCTCTCTCCTCGCTCTCTCTCCCCTCCTCGCCGCAGTCGCCCCGCGAGAGCAGCTGCAACCCTGAGTCGCAAATTTCGCCGCTGGTTTGCAGGTTGCCGCTCGACAAGAACCCGGAGTCGATGTTACCGCTACTTGCCGTCCCCGTCGTCGTCGTCGTTGTCAATTTGTCGTTGTTACCGTTGCCGTCGCGCCGCCACCGCTTCTCGTCCTCCCTGGTCGCCGGCGCCGGAGCGTACTCTTCCTCCATCTGCTGAGTGCTCCGCTTCGAGGGATGCCACATCTTTTCCCGCCGGGTGCTCGATGATAACGTCGCTGTCCTCGTCCCGGTCACTGCTCTCGTTTCTCCTCGTCTTCCCACGAGCCGACAGCTGCGAAAGTCGCTGCACGGCGCGCGCTCGAGAGTGCGATTTAACGCTGGATGTCCGGGATGCTCGTACGACCACTCGCTTTCCCCCCCTCTCTCTCTCTCTCTCTTTCTTTCTCTCTGCTTTCCTCTGCTATATCGTCCGCCACTTCCGACCTCACGTTTGTATCTTCTTCACGCTCGCGCTACTTCTCGCACTTCCGTCGCCTTCTTCGCGTTCACGTCGATCGATCCCTCGCCGATGACTCTCGCGTCGTTATGTGCGCTTTCGTCGTGACGTATACTCGATTGTCCGCCGTCAGGCGACTCTCAGATGCACGCCGACTATTCGGATGCGCACAGAGTCGGGTCACGAGCGCGTCGTCTGGCTGCGGACGTTGTCTCTCCCCGTCCGTCTCTCCGTTCGCTTTAACGACGCGTATATCCGCCCGTCGCGAGTCGCTCTTTCTCCGTCGCGGAACAGCTGTGCCGGACTCTCTCCCCTTCTCTCTCTCTCTCTCTCTCTCTTTGTCTCCGCTTGCCTATTTGCCTCCGTAGTCTTTCCTCGCCGCCGCTCTTCGCGCGAGCCTCGCTCTCCTTCTAGCGCTTCTACTCGTTCACTGCACCGCGCGAAGGACCAGGAGAAGGAAGCGGGCCAGCAGCGCGATCCGCCGCTCGGAGCTTGGCGGAACGGAAGATGACTTCGTTTGTCGCGCGTGACACAACGCTCGCGCTGACGTTCGCGGCGTGTTTTTGCGCGTACGTCGAGGTGCGTTGCTGGACGTACGCGAGCGCGCGCGAACTCTCACCACTCTCGTATCTCAGGACGAACTGAGACGAACGGCGGACGGCGCTCGAGCGAATGGTGAGGCGCGCCGCGGTGCGCATGCGCAGGCGGGATTTCTCGCCGTCGCGCGGCGGTTCTTACGAGCAATCACGTATACGCGCGCGAGCGCGTGCACACACGCGCGCGTGCACGAGAGCGCGGCCACAGGCAAAAGTGGGAAAACCCATCGACCTCGGGCAGGGCCAGCCGACTACATATGTAGTCATGCGACTGCATACGGCTGTAACTGATATACGACGATATGTCGGCGACGCGTTGTTGCACAGATAAGGCGATTCCGAGGTCGCGGAGGAAGCCTCCTGGCTCAGCCGGGCGCGCGAGTATGTCGATCTCGGACTGTTCGGTGGATCACGATCGAAGGATCAAGACGATATATATCCCGGGAGATCAGATACGGTTGGACGTTCAAACGTCCGCAGCGGAGACATACCCAGTGGTGAAAATGTTCGCTACGCGCGCGCGCGAGTTGTTTTGCTTGTCCTCCCTCTCTCTCCTTCGTTCTCCTTCGTTTGTCTTCGTGTGTCCTCTGGATTTTCCTTGAGTATCGGCCAAAATCTCTTGGATCTTGAATTTTCCGTAGATCTGTGTCTCTTATCTCGCGCAGGACCTCGCCGCAGGTGAGGAATTTACGGGAGGGAAATCCGGCGAGTGCGATGAAGCATTTCGCAGGAAATTGTAGAAAAAGAAAAACACGCGACGGGGAGAAATTCCGTTCCGTTTGTTCATCGATGATGAGTCCGTGTGAGAAGAATCGGTCCGCTTCGAACGGGGTTATCCCGAGCTTTCACGAACTTTCATTAGAAAGCCTCGCGCGCGCGTCCCGCTACGTAAAATTCCCCATGACTTTTTTTTTCCGACGAGAGAGACGCGCGCGCGCGCGTGTATGTGCGTGCGTGCGAGAAATCGCGTAAGCTCGACTCTACCGTCGTATTAAGAGCTAATATATAAGCTCTTGCGTAACAGTATTTTCTACGCGACGATGTGTCATTGCCGGTCTTTCTTTCATAGTAATTTCGAGCAAGCGTGTTATCGCACACGTTGCTGCGATTGTACCATGATAGACAGATGCTCGCTCGCTCGCATGCGTGCGTGCGTGCGTACGTGCGTGTGGGGTGTTTGTTATCAAAGTGTAATCACCAGGGAGGGATCTCTTAATGACGGAATTTTAAACGGTTATCTCAAGCCCACCGCGAGAACGTACGAGTGTCCCGGATTTTTACCGAGTCGAGAACTGCGGAAAATGGCGGGAACGAATAATTCCGTTTCCTTTGTTCATCGTTCCGAGTCCGTACAATGTGCGAGAATAGTCGAGCAGGTTTGCACTCCGAGGAAACCTCGCGCGCGCATCTCCGTGAGATTCCTCGTGACATTTTTAATCACGCGACACCCGGAAATATCCTTCATTTCGCTGCTTGACGGCCACTTGCTCCGCTCGACGTGTCCTCCGAGGAAGAAGAGATTTCTCAGTCCGTTATTCAATATCGCGAGACGTTTCGTCCCTCGAGCTATCTTGATCCGGTTATTTTTTTTATTCAGCTCCGCGATCGCGACGATACCGACACCGTTATCTGCCGCCGGTCGATCCGTGAAATCCCCACAAGTTGTGCAAGAACATACTCGACGAGGGCTACAATTCGGATAGCGTTCGGGACTCATTTTAATCAGCTAAGTCGCGGTCGGAGACGGACGGAGGGATTCAGCGCGAAGAGACGGGAAAATTATTAGGAGTGTGTAATTTAGTTTTGAGAGTTTTGCTCTAGATGGCACTGTCAGTTTTGTCGGACATTCCAGTTACAGCTACTGTTTTTTACTGCTTTAATATTAACCCACTTAGTCATTTACTAACAAGACTCAGTAACAATCGTGTTAATACCCATATACTACAGAAAGTTGCAGCAACATTGCTACAACGTTGCGACAATGTTGTAATATTGCAGCGACGTTGCAGCAATGTTGCTGCAACTTTTGCGCTGTATGGATACCCTCTTAAAAATGGAGCTTCCTCCAAAGAACATTTTTGATATGTTTTGTTTTTGTTTTTTTGTCAGAAGAAAACGGCGGTTGAAGGTCATAGAATTCTAATGGAAACTTATGGTGATGTCTATCAATTGAGACAGGTGAATATTGGTTTAAAACAGGGTTTTCCAACCTTTTTTGTATTTCGCACCCTTAAAAATTTATTAATGAACTTTCGTATCCCCTACAAAAGAAATGATTTGTATGTTTTATGGTAAAAATTAGTTGTTAGGGTTTTAAGGTAAGAAGTTAATTTATAATAATTTATTATTACATAGTATTGTTTTATAGAAACTATCATTTTAATATTATAAAATTATTATCCATGGTATCAAGCTTCGCATAGTGATACATAATGAATATATACGTACAGATACGTAAAAAATATATAATTTTAATAACATTTTTTTTAATTTGATGGTAAAAATGTCGGATTATTCCATAATTCACCTGATCATTATTAATTACAATCACTTTCCCTCGCACCCCCAAGAATGTTCTTTCACATCTCTGGTTGGAAATCCCTGGTTTAAACGATTGAAAAGTGGTGATTTCAATGTTAACGACAAAGATCGCTCGGGACAAGTAAACAAGTTTGGAAATGCAGATTTGCAAGCATTATTGAACGAAAATCTAGCATAATACACGGTGCAACATATTCTAGAGGATATATACTTTTATAACTTAAAATAACTGCGAAAATTTGTTGAAAATTCAAAGAAGAATTTTTTTTATCGTCACGGGGTCCATTTCTTGTCAGAAGATTGGTCAAAAAGTTGTAGAAAACGAAGGAAAATATTTTGATTGAGGTACTCGCTCATTATCTCGTTTAAATAAATCAATTTTTGAGAAAAAACCCTCAAAACTAAATCGCACTCCTAATATACGGGGTGTTTCAGACTACCCGGGTCTACTTACTGATTTTTGGAAATATCAAAATCATCAAATTAACAAAAATCAGGGCGCTATTAGAACAATATATTCTTGAGACTAAATAGAGCAAAAAAGTTTAATACCACTTTTTCTCCTGACAAAAAATGTTTTAGACAAAAAGCGAGATATTGTAAGTTAAATATTGAAAAAGTTATCAAGTTTTCCTTAAATATCTCAAAAAATATTGGGCAAATAAAAAAATGTTTTAGACAAAAGTTGTTCAAATTAATCGGTGGGAAAAGACGGTGTAATAAAAGATTGGGGTTTCTATTTAAGATTTTTATGTTTGATCTTGACTGGACTTTTCAAGGTCATCCCAAGGTCAAATTCATAGCGTCAGCAAATAGATCCTTTGAGGTCGTACAACTTTTGTCTGAAACATTTTTCTCGAAAATGTCGCGTTTACGAAAAAATCGGGTGACCCGGGTAGTCTGAAACAGAACCCCGTATACGCTCCTCTCTGTATGGAATATCTGACGTGTTGCAGCAGTTGGCTCTTTCCTCTCGCACTTGGCAGATTCCGGACGCATCTCCGACGTAGCGCACACGCCACGCGAAAAGAGAGAGATGCGCCTCGATCGCCGTTCTCTCGTGGCTACACCACATAGTACAGTCGGGCTACTTTCCTCGGCGGGCCGCGCCGGGGAGTGCGACGAACTCACCGGAAATTCCACACGGCATTTCCTATCGGCGAGAGAGGACACCGGCGGACATAATGACTTATCACGCTGGTTTACCGTGTGCACCGGCCGAATCGATCGCCGAATGTGCGCGGCCTCAATACGTCTTACGAAAGACTCTCGCCGCACGAGCAGAAACTCCATGTGGGTTTTTCCGCCGCGGCGATTGAGGTCGCGTCTCGCCGGTAAGAGACAACAAAGCAAGCGCTATCTTCGTTTGGCCGAGGCTCCCACGAGCGCATGTCAATATACGCGCTTTCTTCCTCCTTCGCGGCAGCAGAACGCGTTGTTCCGCCGCCGCTTCGTCTTGTATACGCTTTGTAAGGCGCATGTTTTGTCGCGGGAGCGCTTATCGCTTACGGCCGAAGGTACATTCGTCTCTCCTCCGGCCTGGTTTTTACTCTGAGGCATACACACACGTTGCGTCGCTGGGATTTCTCGCACCCTTCCGACACGCATTACCGAACGTTTACCAAGCCGTTGAGATGTATGACACATCTTGGAAAAATGTATACAATCCCCTTTCGGATCCCCTTGACGGATCGATCTACTCATCTACTAAATCTTGTTGCCGTTACTTCGAATTATCTACTTACGTACCGGGCACATTACAGAATTACAGAATTAATCACTCTCTGCCACTGTACCTCCGATAAGACATTTATTTACTTTTAATTAGACGCTAGCGCGATTAAAGCTCAGCGTGAGTTATCGTCGAGTGGATTAACCGCGGAAAATACCAGCGGCAGCGCGCGCGAGCGTTCGCATCTCTGAATTCGTAAACTAATTTCTTTTTGATCTTGTGCAATTTTTTATCGAGGCGGCATGTGCCACTACTGAAAAAAATATAAAAATATATAGATACAAACACCATGTAAATCGGCTGACATTAGATTATAAAATGTTCCCTTTTGTTTTTGTGTTGAAAGTATATGCATTTGCGGATCTTTTAGCAATAGATGTGAAAATAAGGAAGATAGAGAGAGCGATCGCTATTTTTCGATGATTACATATTTCTTCTTTTAAATTTTGCAACTCAAATTTTAGAACCTAACGTTTGGTGACTCATAGACATGCGCACAGATATAGATATTTTTCAGAAATGTTTCCAGAAATTCGTATATACATACACATATATAGTGTGTATAAAAAATATCGAGACGACAAAATATTTCGAAAATTGAGCATTTTAGAAAAAAGATGTTTCAGACAAAGTTATATGATTTCAAGGAGACATAAAACAACTATATCATTTTGTTCACAGATGGCACCATTTTCGAGATATTCACTGATCATTATTTTTATGGATCATTACTTAAATGGAAATTTTTTATTACATCATCTTTTTCTACTAATTATTAATTTTAACAACTTTTGCCTGAAACCTTTTTTCAATTTGTCTACTATTTTTTGAGATATTTAAGGAAAATTTTTAATATT